AATCTGAACTTAGAAATTGCGACTTCGGCGGTAATAGTCATGAACTTGATTGTTCCAACTAGGAACACACGCTTCTTGCCAAACTTGACACTTGACACCATCCGGAGCACACGAGGAGCACTTCGCACCTTCCACTCGGCAAACCTGCAAGAAAGCAACACTCCCTGCTCAATACACGGTGTTTCATGGAATTCACCCCTCATCAGTTTGTATTCCTGGTGATGGTTTGGCCTGGAGAGCAGTAAGTGGTGATTTTCAGGCACAATCTCCCTCAGCCTACTCAAGCTCAACTGATGAGGGGTGAATTCCCCGAAACACTGTGTATGGAGCAGGGAGTGGTGCTTTCTTGCAGGTTTGCCCAGTGGAAGGTGCGAAGTGCTCCACGTGTGCTCCGGATGGCAGTCGTGAGTCAGTCAAGTGTCAAGTTCGGCAAGAAGCGTGTGTTCCTAGTTGGAACAAACAACTTCAAAATAATCTGCTGTAATTTATAGATTCTCACATGCGAGTAACCTGGGCCTCAGCAACAACCAGCTCAGCAGACGACCCACTGTATGGGAAAACAGTACTCCAGGCTCACTGCAACCATACACCGGTTGCCGGGTAGGGTCTCGATCTTGTGCCCATTTGAACCGTATGGGGCTATACCCCTGTTCAGACACTCATTATTCTATTGGAGCATTATAGGAATATTCCCTGATCTCGTGGTCCAAATTGTCGCAAGACCGAGCCCGCCAACCAGTTTATGGTTTCAGTTATGAACACTGTTTCTCATACAGTAGGTTCTCCGCTTTGTTCACGCTGTCATCGTGAAAACATGTTCAACGTATCAGGAAAGGCTCACATACATATAGACCATAATTGTAGTACAGTGGTCCCTGTATAATCCCACACCATTTGTGCTACGGAAATTCTGCTGGCTTGGGGAGGGTGCTGGATTAGAAAATCTGATATACTGCTGCAATGTGCATGAAGAGGACATTTTTAGTAACTGAAAATTGTGCTGGTTTATAGAGGGTGTTGGTTTATAGAGGGTGCTGGTTTATAGAGGGTGCTGGTTTATAGAGGGTGCTGGTTTATAAAGGGTGCTGGTTTATAGAGGGTGCTGGGTTATAGAGGGTGCTGATTTATAGAGGGTGCTGGTTTATAGAGGGTGCTGGTTTATAGAGGGTGCTGGTTTATAGAGGGTGCTGGTTTTTAGAGGGTGCTGGTTTATAGAGGGTGCTGGTTTATAGAGGGTGCTGGTTTATAGAGGGTGCTGGTTTATAGAGGGTGCTGGGTTATAGAGGGTGCTGGTTTATAGAGGGTGCTGGTTTATAGAGGGTGCTGGTTTATAGAGGGTGCTGGTTTTTAGAGGGTGCTGGTTTTTAGAGGGTGCTGGTTTATAGAGGGTGCTGGTTTATAGAGGGTGCTGGTTTATAGAGGGTGCTGGTTTATAAAGTACTGGATTAAAGAGGGACGACTGTAGTGGTACCGAATACTACCGATTCCCTGGAATTGAGTCAGTGAATCACTGGTTCATTCATTGACACATCTATGATCTAGATCCTGTCAAAGTTATCAAGGCAATGACATCATGTGTGCGACGAAAACTAATTCAGTTTTTCATAGTTTTTTTTCGTTGAATGAATGAAATTAATAATTATTTTATGACCGGCTGGAAGTTTGTTGGTCAGTGTATCCAAGACGTGATCGAGGCAAACGTCAGGTCGTTGAATGTCAGTATCATCAGTGAATATTGTGGAAAATGTTACACGTTCTGACCCTACATCATCTTGGAAATAAGTTAGTGGACAACAACGCATACTGCGGTGTAAACCTTTGTTCCTTTCCTTCTTCTAAGTAATTCTATTCTATTCTTGTCTTCAGATCAGACTGGCAAAGAGCCATGCTTCTCTCCCCACCATCATCTATACTTTACGCACGTGGCCTAGTAGATGCATGGCTGATGATACTCACATAGCTGACTGATACCTGTACATCAGGTAGTGTCTGGTGCATAGGCGAACACTCATCCACGACTTGGCTGGTAGTGTGACGTAGGTTTCGTGCCTCCAGGACTCATTGCTCACTGTGTGATCAACCATGCGTAAGCTGCACTACAGTGTATACGTTATGAATGTGATGTAGCAGTTAGCTATGTGCATATCACCAGACATACATCCACATGATGCTATACGCAAACAGAGCAGAGTAGGAATGGGTGATTAGGATAATAATGTACATGTATGCAGTCCTGGAATAGAATCTACCGGTAAGAGAACATTTTCTTTTTGTCCGTGTTTCTATACATGGCTAGAAAGTACAACTAATCTGTGTGTGTATGTATTTGTGTCAGCTAGTTCGGTTGGTGGGTACACTTATGCCAGATAGTGTTGGGTCTGTTGCCAATGGGCTCGGCTGCTTGAAAGTGTATTGTCGTACCTGCCACCTGTGTTGGTTTCAGGGTTCATCTACTTTCTATTTGAAGTATACATACCTGTTAACCATGGACTACTTCTGGCTAGAGCAACTCTTGTGTAATCAATGGTGCTAGTGTAGCTTATAATAATTATTATCAGATCCACTCTGATTCAGCCACACATACTAGTAGCAAGTATTACCTTCACCGGAGGCAGGGGTAACTGCAGTTGGATCCCGGGACGTATACCCTGATGCCGTCAATCCCCTTTTCTTCACCTCGTCCTTACCCACTTACTGAGGTGTGGTGAGCCCATAAGTGGGATCATTTGCAAGTCCACCCAGAGTTTTAGGGATTTCAGGAGATGTGGGCCGTTGGGCGGTTCAATAGCCAATTGAGTGATCTTTCCAAGATTTCTTTTGAGTCTCTCTCTCCCCTCTCCCAAAGGGAGACCCACGTGACCAGTTATGGCAGTGAGCAAGCGCAAGCATGTGTGCATGCATATGTGTGTGTATGGGGCGGGGGGGGGGTGCGTGGGTGTGTGGGGGGGGTGCGTGGGTGTGTGTGTGTGGGGGGGGGTGCGTGGGTGTATGGGGGTGTATGGATGGGGGGGGGCTGTGTGGGGGTGGGTGAGTGTGTGTGTATAGGGCGGGGGGGGAGTGCGTGGGTGTGCGTGTGTGTCTATGGGGGGGGGGGGGCGTGGGGGTGCGAGAGTGGGGGGGGGGGGGGGTGTGGGGGTGTAGGGGTGCGTGAGTTAGGGGGGGGGTGCGTGCGTATGTATGTGGGGAAGTTTGTGTCAGTGTGGGTGTGTTTGCGTGTGTGTGTGTGTGTGTGTGTGTGTGGGTGAGTCCTTCGCGAGGCTTTGCAAGCCCGCGAGTGGAGCAAACTACCGCACGAAGACGACGACTTGGAACGACTCTGAGCGTTGGCTCATGGAATGTTCGCTCTGTTGTGGAGAGTGATGGACCAGTTCTAGCGGCAGCCGTGAGAGGAATCGTTTCCGATGATAAGCCAGATCCATAGCTGCTGGAGATGGCTCTCTCCAACATGGTCCCGCTCGTCCTTCTATTGTCGGCCCCGTAAGGGAACACGTGATCGTAATGGCAGTGTTTACCAGGACCAGGTGTGTGTGTTTGCGTGTGTGTGTGTGTGTGTGGTGTGTGTGTGTGTGTGTGTGTGTGTGTGTGTGTGAGTGTGTGTGAGTGTGTGTGTGCAAGCTGTTGAATGGTGCAATCCCAGGACAAGTTGCTATGGCTTCTGCTGTAGCATCCCTATCATCGCCTTCTGCGATGAGCGTCAAATAGTCCATGGTCTGTGTGTGTGTGCGTGCGTGTGTGTGTGTGTGTGTGTGTGTGTGTGTGTGTGTGTGTGACTTTTAATGTTTTCATATATTGTTTCTCCTGACATGATATGGGCAGTGGCTACGACTGTGTATTGTATATTTTTTTCCTTGAAATTAATCCTTGCTGGGTTTTTTTCATCCAAATGTCCCGCTATTAACTGCAGAGGTGATTTCTTCCCTCGTCGATTTCTGTCCTGCTTTTATACCTCGATATTTAGGCACTTGTTTCCCTTCTTCCCATGCTTCATCTTCCACTCTCCTCTCCCCCATTTCCCCATTTATCTTGCGATATTTATGTGGGAGACTTCCGTGATAAGCATCCATTTGCTTTTGGAGAATCCTTTTAAATAAATACAATACAATACAATACGTATCTATTATTGCACGATTAAAGAGGTCAATATATGAAATATAGAACGAGTAAAAGACCGAGGTCCCCCGAGGTCTTTTACGAGGTCTATATTTCATATATTGACCGATTATGAGGGCAATAATAGATTTATCACGACATAGCATACCTAAAACTGTTTTTGCTTTGCTATAGGAAGAAAGGAATACTATTGTAATAGTATAATAGTATGTACATATGCCGTTTACATTGGACATTATTTCTGTGTAAACCAAAGTTTTCAGTTGTCTCTTGTAGTATGTTCCCCAAGTTCTTTGACTGAGAATCTGACAGTTTGGGTTCAAATCCCAGCATTTGGCTTCAGATTTTTCTTCTTTCAGTTCTGATTTTTTTCTAAGTTGAGGAAAAAGTTCTAAGTCCTCGGGCTAAGTGGTCAATAATAAGTGGTCAATATAAGCGGTCAATATATGCTGATATTTGACCGCTTAGGGCCGGGTTCCACTGCGGCTCCGCTGCTCCGCTGCTCGTCTTTCGCGGCTTGAAACGTCATCATTTCCATAGTGACCGCGGCTCGAGCTGGAGCAGCGAGGCCGGGGCTCCCCGCGGCTCACCGCGAGCTTTCGCTACGATTCTTGATCAAAAACTGCGAGCCGCGATCGCGGCTCGCCCAGATTTGCCCCCTAGAGGCGGGGAAATCGCTTTTGTTGCAAAGACTTGAAAGAGAGAACGTGTACCAGTTGTACCAAGAGTCCAGTAGTTCACCAGTTCACCGAGTGCACGACCTGAGGTCATGTACTCTTCTTGGTTGTGCCTACAATTGTTGTGTGAATGTTATTGCTGAATATTATAGCATGGGATCCGGGAACGAGTTGTTTTTGATCAGGCAATCTCGTGGCCAGCAAGCAGTATTGATTGGAGCTGTCTGTCTTGTAGAGTGTAGCTGTCTTTCGCTTTCGTTTTCACGTCCTTTCCTTTGTTTTCGAGATGACTTTTACGTGGAGTAAAGATTTGGAAAGGGCACTGCTAGAGCTGTGGCACCTTGTGGGGAAGAGATTCGACAAGAAGATGAAGACAGCAAAGGAGAAGAGGGAATGGGCGAGGAAACGATTAATTGAGATGAAGGCGGAGGGAACAATCTACATTGCACCAGGAGCAGGGGATGTTGACGACCTGACTGACGAAATCGTGAAGAATAAAATCGACGGCCTGAAACGGACTGGGCGCAAGTATATGGATAAATTTGTAGTGCCAGCATTAAAAAGAAATAAGAAGGAGCCACCGACAGGATCAGCTGTGGACGATGACGATGTGGACGGAGATGATGGCGTCGGTATCCCTCTCGACTGGGAGGATTTGGAGAAGAAGTCCAAGTGGCACCTACTACATGCATACTTTACTTTATTTGGCGACCACCCAACTTGGGGTCCAGGTCTCGGTGGTGCTGTTGACACCGCAACAGTGGTCGAGGATTCAGCTGCCACCTGTGCTGATGATGGAGAGACATGCAAAGCGGAGCCTCCAGCCTCTCCAAGCACCAGCAACTTTGAAGCTGACCAACTTCACTGCCCGACTCTAAAGAGGAAGCGATCAGAGGACAGCGATGATGATGCTGATGCTGATGATGATGCTGATGCTGATGATATTGCCACACCCGTCACACCCGTCACACCACCCGCAAAGATGAAGGCCGAGAAAAAGGATACTCTGGCAGGTAGCACAACACCACGGGTGGCAAGTCAGCAACGTCAGTTCCTTGCACAGTACGCTGAAATCCAGGAGAAGCATCAAGAGAAAGAGCATGCGTTTCAGGTGCGTATCCATTTTGATTGTCTCTGACCATGAATGTATGTCGTAGGAGCATAGTAGTGATGTTTGGTGCATTGAGCACCGGATGTATAGCAGTAATGAATGTAGAAATGCAGGACTATGGTCTATTGAATACCTTGGATCATTCTTTTGACCAGTTGCGTCGGAGATTATCTAGCGCGCGACTCTACTGTAATGACTCAAACACATAGAAGCAGAATGTTACATTCTCACAGGTTGATTTGCCATATTTCATTGCCTTCCTTTCCCTCGTTTCTCACAGACATCGTTGATGCAGCAAAAAATGAAGTTTCAATCTAATCTATCGCAAGACCGAAATGCCCACCTCCAGCAGCACCAGGCATTCCAGGCAGGTTTGTTGCAGAATATGATGGCGTTCCAGGCCAAGCTCCTGAAGAATATTCTGAATGATGACGATAAAGATGAATAGACAATGCCTTTAATGGTAGCCACCTTCAAGAGTATCCACAGTGACATTTCAGGCACTTGATAGCGGTACTGTCAGTTAACTGTAGCTGTGAACAGACGTATTTGCTACACATTTAAATTGGGATTATCCCATAGCTCACCAACAATTTGATTTACTTGCATGCCGTACTTGTTTCTTCTAAATTGTTATTATACGTGTCTGTTATTGTGAGCAGACGTATTTTCTACACATCGTTGTTATTATTATGCTATGGCTTGCCTACACGCTGTTTACTGCTATATCATTCTGTTTTCTTCTATTTTATTAATATTTTAGTCAGTGCCTTTTGTGAGAGCAATCATTTCCTGGCCTGGCCAGTCTCGCCTCGTGATCAATCATTTCCGGATGTAATGAAGGAACAGTGTGCGTGTGGGGGTGGGGGTGCAGATTGGTGGTTGATGCGCGTGTGTCTGTGATGGTTAATAGAGAATGTAGAAGCATGGGGTGTGCTTGAGACGAGCGAGACCAGTTTGGGTGTTCGTGGATGAACAGGTCTATGTGTAGGCATGGAGTGGTGTGTTGGAATGCTGTAGCTGTTAATGCAGAAGTCTTTTCTTCTGACATATGAATATGCGTGACCCTGTGCATATGCGTGACCAGTTCCTGTCACTTCATGAGCACTTCTGGAGCCTTGGCTATTTTTGCTTTGTGATTTTCTTCAGTCTTCCTGTTGTGGATGAACAGGTCTATGTGTGTAGGCATGGAGTGGTGTGTTGGAATGCTGTAGGGACAGTAGCTGTTAATGCGGCTGAGCCGCTGTCTTTTCTTCTGACATATGAAAATGCGTGACCTTGTGCATATGTGTGACCAGTTTCTGTCTCTTCATGAGCACTTCTGGAGCCTGGGCTATTTTGCTTTGTGATTTTCTTCTGTCTTCCTGTCATTTATTTCCGTTCCTCCTTTCTTCTTTCCTTCCATATTCGCCTTTATGTTATTGGGCCTAGGTCACGTTTGCGAAGTAAAATAAGCACAAACAAACAACAGCAGTGCTACACCATAGTATCAATCATCCAGTTTTGTATAATTGCATAATTGAATTTTCCTTTTTTTCTATAGGAAGTTGCAATGTCAACCAGTGTTACCATAATTCTGTGCAATGTATACCAGTCCCGTGATGACTAATTGCCCGCCAGACACAGATCAGGCTAGCAATAGTTGGGGGAATTGTATCTTTGGTGTTGGCAAAGTATGTTTGCATGCACAATACTTTATACAATTTGATACACACACGATGGCAGTAAGCGAGAAACATGTTGAGAGTGCAGCACGCAAGGCACAAGGAGCGAAAGTGCTTGACAAGTGCAGCATTTACGTACTGGGCAGTACTAGGATATAGAGTATACGACATTCAAAACACAAGAAATAATAATTCGGTGCAAAAAGAAGAAAAGAAAATAATAACGCCCAAAAGCGCTAAATACAAAATTAAGAAAAAGGGAAATAATAAACCACGAAGCGCTAAAAGTGCACCATATAATAATATGAAATAATAAAATAAAACCGAGTGAAAAACCAAGAAATCATAACAAACAAACAAACTAATAAAAAATGTAAATGATAAGTATCCCAGGATCGCTGTCTCTCCGTTGTGGCAAGAGAGGCAAAAGCGTTGGAGTCAATGTGCAGTACAAGGATATTGCGTTTGGCTAGAAGGCAAATAGCAAGCAAAACAAACTGCAGGCACAGCAACAAACACATCCGCCACCTACACAACCTGCAAGGGGAAATTTTCATGGGCATAGCTGGCAAGTGCATTCCTGACGGCATCACCACCCTCTTCTCGTTGAACATTGGCATGGTCGTCAGGTCCAGGATGGTGCATGGCATACTGCGCAGGGTCGACTGTCCACTGCTGCTCATAGGGGCAGCTCCACCGCTCGCACACGTTGTGCAGAGCGCAGGCAACAACAGCGACATCAGCAGCGAAGCGGGGATCCCTGATGCTGCTATGGACTAAAATTCGGAAGCGACCTTTGAGCCTTCCGAAGGCTTGTTCAACTACGCGCCGAGTCCGAATCAGCCGATAGTTAAAGGACTGCTGTGCGGGGGTGACTGGGGTGGTGAAGCACTTCATGGTGAAGGTGTTCAGGGCAAATGCGGAGTCGGCAACCAGATAGGGCTGAATTTGTAGTTGACCGATGGGCAGTGGGTTGGACACCAACCATTTCTTGTCCACAATGTTCTGTCGTAATGCAGACGACGCAAATGCCGCGGCGTCACCAACAGATCCCGGTCGCCCACAGTTGACATTCGTAAATATCCCTCTGGCGTCCACAGTGCCTAGTATCATAATGGACGGATACTTTTTATAACACCAGTACACATCACCGTGTGCCACAGGCTTCTCTATCTCCATGAAAGTTCCATCTATGGCGCCAGCGCAATACGGCAGACCACACAAATCCTGGAAATCAATCATGACTCGGTTCAGCTCAGCACCTTCAGGGAACGCTACCGATTTTGCCACAAGTGCAGCCTTGAAAACCGCAGCAGTCTCATGGACGATATGCACAGCAGTAGTTTTGCCAACTCCATACAGCAGTGCTAGCTGAGAAAACGACGGGGCATGCGCAAACCAATGAAGAGTGATAGCTAGACGTTTGCACGAAGGCACACACTTCCTCAGATGCGTATCCTGTTTTGTCAGAGGTACTTTCACCAGTGCGTGCAGACGCCAAAATGCCTCCCTTCCCATCCGGAAATTGTGCTTGTACTGGGCTTCTTCCCAGTCATGGAAGCCACGTGCAGACATGGTGGGCAGACACTCCAGGAACTGGCTTTGCCAAATGCCAGGGCCGCGCAATGCACACCAAAACCTCCTCCGTGAGCGACCTTTTCTCCAGAAATCTTTGAACAATTGCGTATTCAACATGGCGATCCATACAAAGCTGGTTCCTGCAATTGAGGAATGGGAAGGCTTGAACATGGAAGCACTACTCAGCTCTCCTTCATCCTCGCAGCCTTGCAGAATAAATTCTGCACACAGCGCTAGAGTCTGGAATGACCACAGAACAGCGAGAAGCTTCTTCTTTTTCGGCCAACGAGCCATTGCCAGCAGTTTGACAATCACAAAACTCTTGAAAATTCGCAAGGGCACCAATACACCACCAACTACGAAATACAAAACAAACTATTTCCCTTGAATCGAATATCGAATATCGAATATCGATTTCGACTTTTCGGTGCGGAGGGAAAATGACCTTCAGGACAGCACTTGCACCCAACAGTCCTCCAATACAAAGAATGCACGACCTGGGGTCATGTACCATTGTACTCTCGGTACTTTCTTCAAGGTGTACGGCATCCTCAAAACAAAGGTTACCATAGAAATCAACTGCTCCCGCCGTCGACAGCGTCGCGCCCGACCGCGGTGCCGCGATTGGCGAGTAGGGAGGTTCTGCTATACGTGAAACGTAGAGAAATCACGTAGAGAGCAGGTGTCTGGGTTAGAGTCTACGGCTTCGCGTGTTTTGGCTCCAGATTTCTACGCGGAGATGGGGTTCTCTACGTTGTGGCACACGCAGAGAAAATGCGTACGGATTTGCTGGGTATCGATCAACTGCATGCAGAAAACTGCCAAATATGGAAGGGGAAAATCCCAGTACACATTCCACGTGACTTCTCTAGGTGAAACGTAGAGCAGAACAGCATTTCTTTACGTTACGGGAACGCGAAGAAAGTTCGCGTGATTCTTTGCGTCGCGTTCCCAAAACGTAGAGCAGAACCTCCCTAATGTCAGTGGAACCGCGCTGCTCCGCTGCACGCAGCGAATTGCAGCGGAGCAGCGGAGCAGCGGAGCCGCAGTGGAACCCGGCCCTTAGAGATCACAAGTTTCTGTGGGGGTCAATAATAAGAGAGTGATAAAATACAATACTGATGACTGTTGTCCACAGTGGCTACGACTGTGTATTGTATACTGATGACTGTTGTCCGCAGTGGCTACGAGTGTGTATTGTATACTGATGTACATTATGATTGTGTTGTGCCAGTCTTTGTCACTTACAGTGACCTGTAGAACATGATGGGGACAGTGACTGTGTGACTTGCAATGGGAGTGCTTGCAGGCAGGCTTGGAGCTGGAATGTTTTCTGTGCGTATATCGGAGCATGGATGCTTGCAGTTTGGGTATGGCGGTAAGAATGTTGGTTGTGATTATCGGAGCATGAATGTTGGATGTACAGTGACGTGTACATTGGAGCAGAAATGATGACTGTGCATCGGAGCATAATATATAATACACAGTTGTCTAACATCATGCTGTCTGATGAGTGCTTATACAATGTATAAGCTACTTTACTAATAATATGTTGACTGGGGCTAGAACAGCTTGATTGTGGACTGCGCAGTTCTGTAGCAAGAATTCTGCCTGTGTGTAACTACCTACACACACTTGAGAGGGACGAAAAGCGTTTCTTCTGTAACTCTGAGTTTCACGGTTTTAACCGATCATCAGACAGCAACTTGACTACAATTTTCAGAAGATAAGATTGATATAGGCTGCAAGCTTGGATCATAGCGCGAATGGATGATCCGGGCTGATGGTGTAGTTGTAACTACCTATATGTACTTGTAGGAGAATGACGGTTAACTTCACAGTTTGGGAGCATGAATATTGGGTGCGCAGAATGGGAGCATGATTGTCGGCTGGGGAGTTTCAGTGCATGAATGCTGACCTTTGGTATTATAGCATGACTGTTTGTAGATGCAGGTATTATGAGCATTAAGGCTTGCCGTGGGTCTTGGACACACTGACCTGAATACCTTCAGCATGACTGCCATGAGTGATGGTTGATGATGATCGTAATGTCCGGCTGTTGCTTAGCAACTGATTGTATTGGTTACCATGACTACATAGTGCTGGTGACTAGGGTAGTGAGTGATGGAGAGGTTGATGGTGTGGTTGTCATGGTATTGACTAGACAGTTCATAGCATACCTATCAGATGATCTGACGTGTGCACAGCACATAATTACACCTTGTCAGAAGAATGAGACCCCGATGACGCAGGGCAGACTGGGCAGTGCATGCTTTAAGGTTAAGGTAACGGACTGGTCGTAAATTTCATATGGCATTCAATTGACCGTAACTTTGGTGTCTCTCAATGGATTTGAGTGAACTTTTCACCGCACACTCCTACCACTATGCTGGCCCTCAGGACATGATTTAAAAGTTCTTGCGCCTCACTGACAGGCTTTCGTTGTAAGCTGTTTTGGCTTTATCCTGTACCTCTGGGGGATGCCAAGTGATGGTTTTGAGAGGCTGGTGATGGCTGTGAGCGAGAGTTTGCCGATCGGCGTCGTCCTCGCTATAGCGATGAAAATACTAGTTATTGCGCACCTGGCAGATATCACAACACGTCGGAGCGTCCAGGAGCAAAGGAACCTTGGGTTTTCACTGGAATCTAGTTCCTCCAGCATCGTGTAGCCCACCGTCAGTGAATGGCCGTCCAGAAAGGTTGAACCTGGTCTTCTGCAGCATCTCGCAGTCCTGCGAGGCACACCATGTACGCCTGCCATGTATTCTACAAATAAAACTCATGAAGTAGTGGACAATAGAGTGATGAATCTACCCTGTACGCTGCAAAAGACGCAGGAAATATGACTGGTGTCTGTACACTGGACGCCCAACATCCCAGTCTTCTCCTGCAGGATCTGTTTGACATTGACATACGGGCATGCAGTGGGTCGACATTGACCTGGTTTGGCAGCTATCTGCCTGGGTGAATGTAGCAGGTTTACATTCGCTCGTCGTCAAGTCCGACATTTTCTTGTAACTGTGGAGTACCGGCACGGTTTGAAAGGCTGCTCATGCTGTGAACACATCTCTACTGCCTGTCTCGTCCTGGAAGTGCCGTCTCGCAGCTTCCTTGCTCTACATTCGCGCTTATTTCGTTTTGTTTCGTGGTGCAGCTCAAAACATGCCCAAACAACTGTGAGCTCACAACATGGTATGGACAAATAGCACCACTCATTCTGGATGACTAAATGGATAGTCGAGTAAGCGAGTTACTCCTTGGGACATGGCAAGATCTGTTCAGCGCGGGCTATTCCAACCTCGAAGTGCATAGTCACCGATCTATCCATGCAATGGTGGTTGACCTACAAAGAGCCAAGGTCTACGAGTACTACTATTGGATGTTGTCTACAAGACTACATGCAGTCAACAAAATCAAAGTACCTCAGTATGCCCCAGAATAGGGCATGTGCGTCTACAGCATGACACAACAGGGGTTCTGGCAGCACATGTCAAACAAGCAATAGCGACTAGTGCCAGCTACCTATTAGATGCTAGCCGCTACAGTATGTCACTGGAGATAATTATTATGTTCAGTGTTTGGACTGTGCACAATCATGCCCGATCAATCTGCCCAATGTGCATGTGTTCTGTTCCACATAATTAGAACGTCCCATCGCATCAACCCTACTACACGGACATGTCGTCACTCTAGCATGACTTGTGTTATTATTATTGTTTCTTTTGATTCGCACAATAAATAGAGCAAAATAAACGTTAACTTGACCAAAGAATAAAGGCGACTGCAGATAGAGGAACAAATCGGGGTACATGTACATCAATACAGTATCAGAGAGAAGCAAAAAAAAGATGAGAGGTGCGCAGAAAAAACTCTCGTAAGCCCAAGAGTCTGAGGGGGGGGGGGGGGGGGAGAGTGGTTAATGAGGGATGAATGCACTCTCCACGCTCGTCTACACTGTTCGTGGAAATGCACACGATTGCACACATACATACAATAACATACAACATAGCATGCACAGTACCGACCAATTTCATGTTGACACATACAAGCACAGGCCTGAACGACGCACATCGCGCGCGCGCGCGCGCACACACACACACACACACACACACACACCACACAAACGCACGCACACACACACACACACACACACACACACACACAATACAATAATGCCCATCCGCAGATGATGGCAGGTCCTGAAAGAACCGACAGTGTTTCAGCCATGGGTAACAGAGCTTCGAATGGCGAGTGAGGTATACACACACATACACACATACACACACACACACACACACACACACACACACACGTGCGCACGCGGGCACACACTAAAGTATGCAGAAAGAGAATCTACATTGTACTATTCATCGGTTGGGGAACGAAAAGGAAAATAATAATAATTATTATTATTATTATTAGGTTATTGTTGTATGGACACTAGGAGCACAACAAAAAGGTAACTGAGCCACTTGCTTTGAAGCAATGAAGTTAGCTATTATTCCACGGATGTCAGCAGGAAAGAACGTTCCAGAATGCTGCACTGGCAACAGACGGCCTGCATGTGCGCGATCCCTGCTGTCGGTCTAGCTGCTGGCCGGCCTTGCAGTGCAGAAAAGAATGTGCAGTACAGCGTGTCACGTAGTATCACAGCCTGGACAAATAGGCGCCGAGAAGTCCTAGGTATGTGCTCATCTACACCACGATGCACCAATCTTCTGAGCTACTTTGGCAACAACTTTGTCCACTTGAGACTCCCATCGGCTGAGCCAGTTGCTGAGGGCTGCACCAAGGTGAACGGCAATGACCGCTGATGGCAATACAACTCCATGACACACAGTCACTAGGGCATCGTCAACATGGCGCTGAGGCTGGATCGGAAAATCTGCCTTTAGGCTGGGTTGACAACGAGGCCGCTGTCTTGAAGCTAGTCAGTCAGCCTGGTCACCGCCATTGACGAACCAGTCGCCACAGCAGCGGCGGTCAGTTGTGACAAGTGTGGCGCAATATCGTCAGCAAATTCAGTACTCGGGATAAGATGAGTGACAAAGGGAACGTTGTGTGTGTATATTTATTGAAGTGAACAGGGATGATCACAAACCCTGCGGGTACCGGGTACTCCACCGAAACAAAAAAATTCCGGACTGGGCGACGAGCAAATGCCAACCTGCTACACTCCACCCAGGCAGATACTATTATGATAGCTGCCAAACCCGGCAGGTCAATGTCGACCCACTGCATGCCCGTACGTCAATGTCAAACAGATCCTGCAGGAGAAGACTGGGGTGTTGGCGTCCAGTGTACAGACACCAGTCACATTTCCTGCGTCTTTTGCGGCATACAGGATAGACTCATCGCTGTAGAGTCCACTACTTCATGAGTTTTATTTTGTACAATACATGGCAGGCGTACACGGTGTGCCTCGCAGGACTGCGAGATGCTGCAGAAGACCAGGCTTAACCTTTCTGGACGGCCATTCACCGACGGTGGGCTAACGGATGCTGGAGGAACTAGATTCCAGTTAAAACCCAAGATTCCTTTGCTCCTGGACGCTCCGACGTGTTGTGATATCTGCCAGGTGCGCAATAACTAGTATTTTCATCGCTATAGCGAGGACGACGCCGATCGGCAAATTCTCGCTCACAGCCATCACCAGCCTCTAGGCCCCGGCGGATAATGCTAGTTATTTTCGGCAATTATGCTACTAGCACTGCTAGTAAAAGTGGCACATTATGCTAGTTTTAATGCTCGTTATGCTCATTATGCTCAATTTAATGCCACTTTATATGGGGTCAAAAAGTGTCACGGATGGACTTCACGCAACTCCACTAACAGCAACACCATTGACAGCTGCACAGTCTGGGACCAAGGCAAGAACCTTGTGGCTTGGAACTTGCAGCTGTGTTGAGAAAACTGTGATGAGCTCTCCAGCTAGTTCGGTACCAGCTAGGCTTTTGGACAGTACAGAGCAACGTACGAGGCGTTGGTGTATGTGGAAATCGCCATCGACGTAGCGGAGGACAACAGCAAGTGCCTCACCAAGGCGTCAAGTACCATCGATAATAACGGTGAGATGAGCTGCAGATGCAATCTCCTTCTTGATGGTAGACTGCTCATTCTGCAACAGGAATGGCACCAACTGCGCCATGTGAGTGCTGTACGTCATGCGACAGTAGTTGCTTTCAAGCAACGGACGAAGGTGGTCTATCTTACTCAGAGGCACACCTGCTTTGAGGAAAGACTCTACAACACTGGCTCTTCGAATGAGGACATCATTGGCTACAGCACCAGACAGCCCTGTTCCTGCCAGCTACTTTTTATGGTCTGTAGTGTACTTCTCCCACGAAGCTGTTAGCGCTCGCTGGTATAGCTGGGCTCGTGACTTTCGCTCTTTGGCCGTCTTGTGCTTTTGGCTCGAAATGTGTGATTTCACAATGCTGTTCTTCGGTTGAACTGTCTGGCTGCAGGCACTGCAGTAAATCTTCCCACTGGACACGGTCAAATATTCCCCTGGAAATTGCGGCACGCGATGGTGGACGCTGACACGAGGTGTCAATGTGGAACTTCCACCGGCAATTCGCCCACGCTTAGCGACGGACTCCTTCCCACTTCTCTGGAAAGATCGTTTTCTGGAAATCGCTGCTCTGGCTGGTTCGGGAAGACGTTCACACGCTGTCCTGACCTCGTCCTCTTCGGACTCTGATTCTGATGCGTCTTCATCGACAAACTCGGAATCAAAGTGATCATCGCTACTGCTTACTACTACTAGATCAACAATGTCTCTGGCTGCTTGCTCGGACATAGCCATGACGTGTGTTCTTCATCAGCTAACAAAGAATAATAAGCAAAAGTTACTTAGTTGGTGGAAACGAAACGCTCCCATTCTCACCGTCTTCTCATGTACACCCATCACAAGTTTTTTTCCCAACGCTTGTGCCCAGACTCCCAGCCAGAGTCATAGATCTACTACAACTAATAATTATTATTATTTTACTTACAAGTACAGTAGTAGAGGGCTACAAGATTTCAAGTGAACCAGTGTTGTCGGATGCAAACACAGTTCAATAATTAGTTTGCGTGTATATTTCTCTGCAATCGACTGGTCCCGTACGGATCCGATCGACCGTCCTCACCACTGCAGTTTGCACTGCCACATTATCATCATCATGCATGATCAAGGCTGCGCGCCCGCCTCGCGAAAATCCCATGTTTTGCAACAATATGCTAATTTTCGTAAGAATATGCTAGTTTTCTGCAAAACCTGCTGATTATGCTAGTGCAATGCTAGTTTCCAGAAAGTGCTAAATATGCCAGATATTAGTGTTGAAACGATCTCACCGGATACTCGTTAGCTCGCTCGCCAGAAACTCGGCTCGTTTGTGCGGCCAGCTCGTTTGCACTAACGAACACCGTACACCGTACTCCGTACACATGGCAGTACATATATGTCGACGCTTGTGGCTCAATGTAGCTGAACCATCGGACCTTATTTGTCAGCTTGGATCACGTGATCCATCCAGCTGCCGCGTGCGGCAAACAGCCCAAATAGCGCTAACTCTGGCCTGCGAGCGTTTGCTGAGACTAGCGCGCTAGCGGCTAGCGCTTGTGACATACACAAACGCGCTAGCCAGAATGCTTTGACTGTTTGAGTTTGACTTTGATGGCTTTCAGCTTCTATTTTTTGAAAAGTAGCGCGCTCATGATCAGACCAGCTCGCTCACTCTTTTCCTCTTCCATTTTTTAGGGCAATTGTTTTGTTTGATAGACGAAGCTTGGGGTCTCTTTGGGTTTGCAACCCTTACCCTCCTGGAAAAAATCATAGTTGCTAGACTGCGACACTTCAGACCAGGTACGATTAGAGCCGCTAATGGACGACGAGCTATTTTCCGCTATCCGGAGCTCAAGCATTTGAGCCGCTAAATGGACGAGACTCCTGGGGTAAAGGATGCAGAGAATGAGGAGAAAACACTCGTATGGAGCAGGGAGTAGGTATTGTACTACTTCCTGGTATGGAGCACTGAGAAGCGGTAAGTCTTAGGGCAATTCTTAGCCAGTAATTACTTTCTCGCCATAATTATGTTCTCGTTTTTCGTGTCTTCTGTAATGCCAGTACACTAGCAGTACGACTACACTGTAGGCGAGAGTCCATAAGCCAGAGTGTGCAGCTCTCCATCTATGCAGCATAAACAAATTAATGACAAATTTCCTTTGCCTAAGGGCTGGGTTCCACTGCCGCTCCGCCGCACATCACCCACGGCATGAAACGTCATCATTACGAGCTGGTCCAGCGAGGCCGCGGCTCATCACCAGCTTTCGCTTCGCTGCTTGATACAAAAAAATGCAAGCCGTGGTCACGGCTTGCATTGTTTCCCGCACTTAATTGTTTTATTCGGGGGAATTTTAATTCGTTGCACAGGCCAGAACACGAGGATTTTTTTGGATTTCACGCGCGCGCAGACAGGCTAAATGTCATCAAAAAACGTCGAGCACGATCGCGGTACCGTGAATGGCGAGTGTCACTGGAACCGCGCCGCTCTGCTGCATGCAGCCAAGTACCGTGGAGCAGCGGAGCTGCGGAGCCGCAGTGGAACCCGACCCTAACCAAACTTATAGCAATTTGAAAATGTTTGACAACTTTTCATAAAAAAACTTGACAACATTGTTCTTCTGTAGAGTGCCGCTGGCAACTCCATCGATGAACTCCATCAATGAGCGCATGGATAAAGTTTAGAAACCCTTCGAGCGAGAACGTGTTTTCAAAAAGGAAGCACAAATATGCCGCGTAACTTCCCCTCTAGCATGGCCCCCATCAAAGCCACTCGCTGACTACTTACCAGTAAAATGGGGTTGGACGGTTGTCAGATTAGCTGATATGTTTTCTGCCAACACAACCATAAGCAGTTGTCAACTCTGAAGACTAAAAGAGCTTGCGAAGAAAGTGAGAAACCTTGGCTATGAAAGCACATGAAGCGTCAGAACATAATCGAGCAAACTTGGACCTAGATTACCAGTGTCTGCTCCAGAGCCGGGTCAGTGACCCTGTTCGTGAGTACTTGGACCTTTTGGAAAAAGAACACTGGGTTACCTGCGACCCGGTCGGAAGTCCTGTCGAGTACTATACTTTTTTATACTTCAAGGGTATACCGCCACTGACAGGCTGCATACGCGTGCAGATGCGTGCGGCCAGAGTGCCCAGTGCGAGTACGTTCATACATGTACATGTACAATCATGTACATCAGGAAGTCGAAAGTAAGTTTACGACTCCCTGACACACAGTAGCCGCACTTGAACGCATCTGGCTCTGGCCCAGTGTTGCAGGAGTTGTGCCAGGTAGACGTGTACCCGGTTTGTGTTAAATCTTAGAGCAGGTACTGCATACCCTATCATATCTGTGTACATGGGTATACAGAGTCAGTGTTGTTGCGTCCCACTCAGCACCCTTCTGGTTCATTTCGGCACCAGCACTCTTTGCGTATGCAGAGCTGAGTAGAGTGCAAGTTCGGACCACAAGTACACTGTAGCAGCTAGTAGCAAACCTAACCTGTGCCGTGATGCACGGTACTTGTGTGCATCTACTTCATCCCTGAGTAACACACCTGGTATATGGTGCACAATAGGGCACAGTAAATAATCAGCATGCATCGCAGTTTTCTGCAACATATTCCTGAAGTCACTTTACACCTCAGAAGAATTGCGTCGCTGACTGGAATTCGATACCGGTTTAGTTTCTCTCTGGGTCATTATGAATCATAGAAGCTAAAGTACCGTATCACCATGGTAATTCCTGGAAATTCGGTGTGTTTTCTGCCTTTTGTTAAAGGGGAAGTATACCCTAAAATCAAATTTTCACCAGTTGTAGTCTTCTGGGTGCTGAGTCGAATGGTCTTGGTCCGAGGAAGCTGCGACGCTCCCTTCCTTCTTTTTTCCCAATCGAACCCGCGCACTTCCACCGAAACTGGGTGACTGCGCTCTACTAGATGGGGATTTGTATGCAAAATCTCACTAAAAGTGCTATGTCGTTTTTATAAAAGCACGGATGACCGCGATTGGCCCATATGTTGTAGTCTTTTGGACGCTGAGTCGACTGGTTTTGGTCCGAAAAGGCTGCGATGCAGCGTTCCTCCTTTATTCCCAATCGAACACGGTTGAACAAGCGGTCACGTGCTCCTGGGTGCCCAAATCACCTGGTTACCACGCCAGCAGGCGACAACTTCCACACCAAGGTTCAACTCGAGTTCAACTCGAGTGACAGGACTGCACCCAAAAAAGGTCAAACAGGCTAGTAAGTTGTACCCTGCAGGCACGGTGACCAGGTGACTGATGTACGCAGGAGCACGTGACCACTTGTTCAACCATGTTCGATTGGGAATAAAGGAGGAACGCTGCATCGCAGCCTTTTCGGACCAAAACCAGTCGACTCAGCGTCCAAAAGACTACAACATATGGGCCAATCGCGGTCATCCGTGCTTTTATAAGAACGAAATGGCGCTTTTAGTGACATTTTGCATACAAATCCCCATCTAGTAGGGCGCAGTCACCCAGTTTCGGTGGAAGTGCGCGAGTTCGATTGGGAATAAAGGAGGAAGGGAGCGTCTCAGCTTCCTCGGACCAAGACCATTCGACTCAGCACCCCGAAGACCACAACTGGTGAAAATTTGATTTTAGGGTATACTTCCCCTTTAAACAAGCAGCAATGTGCAACAGAAATTACCATTGTGATACAGTAGATTACCGTGTGAAGCGGTGTGAGATGCAGCAAAGGTGAGCCTGTTACTGTGAGTCTATGCCCTAAACAATAAACTTTGCCGTGGGATGATTATCCTTGGGCTGCACACTCTGCACACTTATTGCTAGGTATATCATTGGTCTTGTTCTGATCGTCCATTACGTTTGCAGCTGTTCAAACTTGTTTTGTTGTGTATTACTTTATTGATTTATTTATTCTACTTGCCTTTCCTATCTTCTTGTGTTTTAGCATTAGGCGATTTGATCGCAGGACGAGAGAGGAGCTGATGGACGATCTGTCCAGTGTCCCTCTTGGTTCGGAGCAGCGCCGAGTGCTGACGTTGGGACTTGGGTAAGGATGAGTGTTCCCTCATGTTTACAAGTTATCCGTTTTGTCCAACACTAACGGTTATATGCAGAATACTGCTGGGTCAAAAATGTGCAACAATTAGCACAAAAACTGACTGATGAGATCCTGACATTCAACGACCTGATGCTTAGCTGCATCACGTTTATATCCGTAAGTGTTGGACAAAACGGATAACTCGTAAACTGATGGTCCTCTTTTTCAATTTTAATCCTTGGCTCTCCATCCGAGTTCCCTCGTGTGTGTAGCTATTATTATTTTTTTGGTGACAGTCAATTTTTTCTTCAGACTTTTCCCGTTTGTGTCTTTCCCTCAAACTAGTCAATATTTTTATTTACTTATTTTTTTGCCCAGGGTCTACATTCTACCTATATTTTACTTAGACTAGGGTTAGCTGTCCGTTTACCAGTACTCATCCACACATATGTGCACATAGGGTCTACACAGAACTCTATCAGTAGATATTTTGTGTATAGGGGGTTGTCTATCCACCGAGATAGCACTATATTCTCCCATTCTGTGTGTTCTCTGGTAGCTATTTCCCTTGGAGACTATACGGTGCCAGTGTGGTGACCGAGGTCAGGCGTGTCTGCACTGGCATCGTCAACTTTGCCTAATGCTACGTGCTCCCCAGTGCTCCATCTGTGTCCTGTAATTTGTTTGGGGAGGGGGTGGGGGGCAATACCGGTACTTCAGGTGCAGGGGGCAAGGGGGGACATCATGCCCCCAATGAACCTCTCCAGGCGTTGTTCTGGAGTAGACTAACCATAGGCGGAGTGTACACATGCAGCACATAGTTTGGGAGCTAGAACGCGATCGGACTCAGGCATATTCAAAGGCAGTCTATTGTGATAGTAGTCCTGGACTGATCTCACTATGATGATATAGGTCGTGCCCAGCATCACAATGCCAAACATTATAAATGACTGTTTTTTTGCCTGAGGGGCTAGATGAGCATGCGGCTAGACTGCAGATGGCAACCAACAGGCTCAAGGCTGTGTTGAGACTCGTGTGAGCGACCCGAGTCAATTGTTTACTCGCCATGACCAGGCATCGCATTGAGCATCGTATGCCCACTAATATTATGTCACTGTTCTTAGTCGCACCGGGGGCGCATGCCCGTTTTCAGGAGACTTCTCAAAACACATAAGCCCTGGGTCCTGAAGGTTAGGCCTATTGTTAATCTAAATAGTCCTGGCTACTATCCCGCTGAGTTCACTGACTTTCTACTGAACCCGTATGTATGTGAGGAAAGTACTGTTCTAACCTCAACTGCGGATTTCATCAACTTGGTAGAAGGTTTGCCTGTGCGGGACGATCATTTATAATTGAGTATAGATGTGACCAGCCTTTACTACACCAACATCCCCAACGAGCTCGGTTGTCGTGGTATATCACACACAGGTGTACAAGGTGGATGCCCCTCGCCCTTCGTACATGGTTATTAACAGCAGTGACTTCCTTGATGTCAGTCATTCGGAAGAAAAATGAGTTCGTGTATGGTAACGATGTGTTTCGGCAGATCCAAGGGACTGCCATGGGTTCGCCTGCAGCAGCGGTCTATGCCGACATTGTTATGCTGTATTTGGAGAAGCGGTACGTTTTGCCGATCTTAGAGGGGGAGGGTTTAGAGGTTCAGGTTTATAGACGCTTTATCATTGCATGGTTGCGAAGGTCAAGTTCAGCGCACTTTGGATAGGATTAATAAGTGTTCGGCCCTCAAGTTTTCTCATGAACTGGCACATGATGGCATAGATTTCCTGGACACCACAGTTTTCCGTAGTAAGGGATACATGGCTGTGAAGCCTCATTTCAAGTTCACCAATCGTTTCCTGTATCTGCTTGTCGGTAGTAACCACCGCTGTAGTATGGGCAAAGGTGTGTTCACTGGGGAGTTGATCCGTATCCGTCGGTCTTCGACCCTTGACCACCACGGTCTTCGACCCTTGACCACCACTACGAAGCTGCTGCCGAGCGGCCGAAGCAGGCTTTCCGGGCCCGTGTATACAAGCGCTCCATCTTTCATCTTTCAGACCCGCTCACTAGGAATGGATACGCAGGGAAGGTATGTTGGTCAAATTGGCATGGGTTTGGGTTATTTCTGTAGTTGTATACAGTGCTCCTCATTGTATTTACCTGGGCCCGGCCTGCTGTCCTTCGCCCGTTGGTCTTGAGGTCCAGGTGTAATACCCCTACCATACAGTCCGGTGGCCAGCGCGGTTGTTGTTACACGGTGGAACATCGGCAAGAGGTTGCTTGCTCCATTGCCTCATGCTCAGTGTCCTCAGGGAGTTAGTATTTTCCTCCTGTTTGGATTTTGCAGTGTCTATGGTGTCGGTAATTGAGTTTTTGTTCTGTATGCTTTTCTGTGGTGTGTGGCCGTTGTTCACACATCTTTATTTGACTTGCTTCCTGGTGTGGTGTACCCTTTTGTTTTATATTGGTGTTGGTCTGGCTGTAGAGTTCTAGCATCCGTAGCTGCCTCAGGGGGTGCCACTTCTCCCATCAGCGTCGACTAATCCGCCGGTACGTGGTGCTATATTACGTTTAGTTGTCTGTTCCATCCTGTACGGGCTGTGTCCTGCTGACCACGCAGTCTGGGTCTCCATACTTTGCATGTTCTCATCGTGTGTAGTGTTCACACGTACATATATGGACTGTCACACCCATATGTTGTACATGTGGCTGCACGTGTTGTCTCTTTGTCGTACCTGCTGCTGTATTTGTGTCTCTGTGCTGCTGACCCGTACATGCTGCTGCGCTGCTTTGTTGTATTGCTGACACGTGCACCTTTTTGTGCTGATATGATATCGAGTACGCCACTTTTTGTGCTGATGAGGGCACCACTTTCCGATATCATGTTTCCTTTCGCCATGTCAGTTGTCACTTCTCCCGTCGTCTCCTGAAGTGTAGTAATGAATAGCTCTCTCTCTAGCTCTAGAGAAAAACCACTTGACTAGTCCGTTTGATGTGTGGCGTGGCGAGGGTATAGTAGAGGCAGCTCGTTCTCCAACCGAGACGACATTTGGCGCCCAACGTGGGGCTCAAACCCACGACCCTGAGATTAAGAGTCTCATGCTCTACCGACACATAATATATGCACGCGGCACCGTTTGTGCTACTATCCATTTACATATGCTGCTTTCCACACCTGTGCTGACAGTCGGTACGCACCGACTCTGTACGCATGCACGCACACCATTACATTCTGTTGGCATCATATTAGTGAGGTTTTGCATTCCGAAATTCGGCAAAAGATTCGGCACGCGGGAGCGAGGTCGAAAATGCACACGAAGATGCGGCATGTTTGTTCGGAAAAAGGTCACTTTGCCGAACATATTTTTCGGATGAATTTTCTTGTGGAAGAGCGCTAGCGCGTGATTTATTCAAAGAGGTTTCTTATCTTGGCATGGCTTCGCAGGTGTCTTTGACGACATCAGCATCGTCAGCTACCTCTGATTGCTCCTCTCCACTGCCTGTCTACTCTCTTTCGCCTGGAGTGTCCTCACCGTCATCTGTGTGGCTGAAAAGACTATGGCGACACCCATACAATTTGACTTGGCCATGGAGTTGGTTTTTCTGAGGCGACTGAGGAGGCAGGTTTGGCCCTCGACTCTTTGGGCCCGATCAAAGTTTGTCGGAATCAGCAAGAAAAGGAGCACGGGACAGGACATTGCTGATGCTGGGGCTCACGAAATCAAAACACATCATTTTCGACTTGCAAAACAAACGTCGGTGCGAAAATTCGACATTTTGATGTTCGACAAATGACCAAAGAACGCCGAGCCGAAATTCGGAATGCAAAACCTCACTATTGCGGAGCTTCAGTTCATTTGCGGGAAAGGTCAGAGATAAGAGCAGTTGCTGGAGGGTAATGACAAGATTCTTCCCTCTAGAAACAACATGAAATTCTCTAGGTCATGTTCATAAACCAGTCAGATGTCTACAGCTGTCAACAGTGCGGTGCCACAAATTTCTAACGTAGCAAAAGTATCGTGGAATTTTTTCATAAACTGGTGTTCGAGGTACACGGGTAGAGCCGACAAGAATCGATAAAACCAATATATCGATCGTTAATGATATTGGTTGATCGTTTTAAAAAAGAGTTATTGAATGATCGTTTCAGCCCTACTAATAATGCGAGAGTCTTTACAGATTCCAGTGCTCTCATGCCTTTTGCAAGTTCCGTTTGTAAGTCAAATGGAACATGGTTTGTGGTCAATACTTCAGCAGTAGTGGTGCGAGAATATTCGGGTGTCAAATTGCTCGGAATTGATGTATGATAACGGAGAATATACCAACATGTGAATCACTTGGAGATATGGTTTGCCAGGTTCTGTTCACACTCACTAGGCTAGACCCTCTCGAATATTGTACAACAGTTTTGGCCCAGGAGTGGTAAAGGGCACGGGCAAGCTATGTCGGGACCTGCTGTAAAGTCCGCCATACACGAGCTGTACGTCTTATCGGATGGGATATACCCCTGATATTGCTGATAATGAATGGCCCAGTTTCATTGTACTGCTGTCCGCGATATTATATCCTTAGTGGCATTGTTAACTTCTCATTGCTTGTGGGGACGCATGGATCATACGTCCATCCAACACCTGCCAATCGGAACCCACCGACAACGCTGTCGGTTGGGTTGGACCACAATCGGTTGGTTTTTGAGTCCAAGATGCCGCCTAGGTAACACACAGCATTGCTAATCTGATTTTAAATTAGCTGCGCAAATCCTGGCATACTGCCCGTAAATGCATCTAACTCCCAGGGTACTTATGAGTTTTTAGGTCTATGTGGTACTTGTGTCGCATTGGCAGCCACTGTTCCGTTCTGTATTTTCTGGTGTATGTGTCGTTGAATCTCCACAGAAAATGTGCTCGCGCATTAGAAGGAGGTGAAAGATGCACCTGCAGGAGAATACATGCTTAAGAGAAGGCAGAAACATGCCCGGATCCACCAGAACTAGTGCTGGCAAGTCAACAGAGGCGAGTACTGATAATGTTCCAGATTGTGGTAGGATCACATAAGCAAAATTGACACTGGGAGGCACGGCGGTGGGTCAGCTCATGGCCAGCGCCAGCTCCAGTGGATATCACGTGCATCCAGTTCTAGTACTATAGTATGACTGCTACAAAGTAGTGCGGCCCAAATAGAACTCGGGTCAGGTGCCGAAGAACTGGGGGGGGGGGGGGGGGGCATGTGTCAATGAATGGTAATAACTCCGGAAATCATGCTGGTGTATCGAGGGCGTGGGCCAATGAAGTGCTGGATTGATGGTGGACGACTGTACTGCAATCTTGGCTGGTCCCACTATCGCAGAGACAGCACTTCCTGGTGCAACCACCCTATCCTGCAATCTATATAATAATTATTATAAGAGATTTGTGTGAACGATTTTAGCATGATGCAAGTCAGCTTATTGTGCTGGGGGCCTGGCTACATGTCACTATAGCTTTTTATAGACTCGATCACCGCATTACGCTGCCTTGCGTTGACTTGATTGAGCACTCTTTTCGGTTAGTGTCAAAGGTATATGTAATATGTATCTGCCTCCGTGCAAAGCTCTCTTTGTGCGTGTCTTGCAGATAGCTCGCTGACTTTGATGCTTTGAGCCATTTTCAAATTGCTTTTTTTGTTCATTTCATATAGACCGTATTGCCATTTGTTTAACCTCCCGCTCTGAGCTCCACTGATGGGACCTAAAAAGGCTGAAACAGCTGTCTGGAGATTGAGCGTCAGTATTATGGATTTAGAATACACGATCTGGGGACAGCACTAGTAGTACTGTCTAGCTGTTTCGTCCTTTGTGGACTCATCTGCGAATCACGGAGAAATAACTCTTTTAACTAAGGATGAACCTAGCAGCCATGAAAATAGATAAAATGCCTCCAAGCCAGAATTCAAGGCTACATGTGTAGGCCCGAATGTGCCTTGCCCGAGTGCTGAAACTGATAAGTCATTGAGATACGCATAGAACATCTGGCAAAGGAACTACTAAAGCCCCCACAAGCACGGTATTCTACTTCAACAAGGAAGAATTTTGAAAGCATGCACAGCCCTACATGTATAATGTTGGTATAGGTAAGCCTTGTTTGATAAATTAACATGACAAGGCGGGGGACGCACTGTGTTAAAAAACAGTGCTCCTGATACACTAGTGTGTCCTCGGCTTTGTCGCATGCTGTCAACCGATCAACACATACAACGTTGCATGCAAAACGGCTGCAGCCTCGAAGAACGGAGTGCTATTTTGGAAAATGCTAGATATACAGCCTGTACTTATACAGGTGTTCTATCAACTAGTTCCATTATGACAACGGTAGCTGAATGATACATGTACATAATCCCAGGGTCATCATTGCAAGAACCTCTGGGTCTAAGCCCGAAGTAACATTCAACTACATGACTGTATACACCATCATGTATACGCAATCTTCGTAGTAACTGAGTCTACCCCTCACCCACTACTGCCACTGTGACCACAATTGCGCACAAACAGAGGACCTTAGAGGACCTACTTCTAACTACAGTGCTGGCCAAAGAAATCCAACCTTATGAATAAAATTCCACCGGGCGCTACGCAGCCCTAGTACTTAGTAGTAAACATACTGGACCGGTCTGTGCTCTCGAACGCGGCGCTACTTTATTAACGAGGTTGGATTTCTCTGGCCAGCACTGTACAAAATACACACATGCACACACAACACTGCTAGGCTTTCCACCACCACACTAGGTTTTGAAACCGAAGAGTGGCAAAATTCAGGGCCAGACTAGAAAATCTGGGGAGACCTGATGGTTTTTTAAAGCAAAACACAGCCAACACTCTGCAGCCTCACAGCCTCAGGCAGGTTTTCCCGAGTGCACAAAATTAAAAGTTAAGGCACCACGAATACAGTCGGGCGTCACAGAACGTGGGACCCAGGAATGTACGTGTATACCTCTAGGAACACCACAGCCAATAACGTTTTAAAAAGAAACGCAGTGTCAATAGACTCAAGTCTCTGCTTTTCTGGAATACAGATTCTGCTACACACGTATTGCTCACTATCCAGTGGGATGTGCATCTAAGAAAGTGGTACAAGAAGTCAAGGAACTAAGCCTAAGGCCAGATTGCTGAAAGGTTTTGTGTAACTGACGAGCCTGACCCCTTGGAAACAACAGCCGTGGATGCGTGGCTCTACTGTAATAAATGTACAGGTACACAAACAATTTGAATGCAGAAATAACAACAACAAACAGGGAGAGGTGTAGGAAAATATACTCGGCCCCTAGTGAATTTGCTTGTGTATTAGCTTGAAAACTTTGGGTACACTTGTTGAGAGACCTAACTGCATGCAGCTAAAATATGGAGTGCCGTTGTCACCGACGACTTTTCCAGTAAAGTTGCGGCTAACATCTTCTCAGGTATTCCCGGGTCTTCGCTAAGGACGTAAGGGTGAATGATATCATGTGCGTCTTCTATTGCTGATGTCGCTACACTCGATGGTGGTGCTGAAGTACTGATTGTGGTGGAAGATATTGAGATGCCGTATGTCTCGAACCTTTTCGCCAAGTCTCCGCGGCCATCGCGCAAGAGGGTCGGGAGCACCACAACTGCAACGCCACAGATCCAAGGATCGATTCTCGGACAAAACATTCTTCAGGTTGCCAAAGGTCCCCAGTGCTTGGCAATACTGGCCTGTACAGCATGAACACACCACACATACGCCCACACACCATGTACCATGTAAACGCCCGTTGCAGGAGAAGCACGCAAATCTGCAAATGAATTGGATGTGCACCCACAGATTTTCTCGTATAGGAACAATAGCTGATCTGAATCTGAATAAAACAGATCAAGACTAGTGCCAGATAACAGTCTAATCCGCACAAGGCAACTGGCGCAGCCATGTGAATCTCGGGCAAAATGGACAAACATGTCCCCAATTATCAGCAAACGGGTGTGCGTTACAGGATTGGCCTGGTAACTTCAAACAGGCACAATCCACTAACGTGGTGCCCCGTCAACTTCAACGGGAACACACCGATACAAACACAGCCCCACAACAGCAAAACGGGAACGCCGTTACAAATATGGGGCCCTGGCAACTTAACGGGAACGCACCAACACAAGCTGGCCGGGCACCTTCAAACAGGCACAACTGACAAAACACGGCATCCGGCAACAGCAAATGGGTAGGTACACCGTTACAAGAACAGTCCATCGCACCAAAATGCTGCTGCCACAACATTATAGCAGCAGCACGCCAGACATGCATACATGGCATTCTCAAAAGCAGATACTTGGAGTCAAATTCATCCATCACACTGTTTGTTAGGGCTGAATTTTCCAGTGACAATAGCAAATCCCACCTAAGGCACATGTGATGAGATCTGTACACCAACTATAGTCACAGAATCAATGCACATTAGTAGAGCATAAGAACTCACTTGCGCTCATACCCTGTCACGTAGAGATGCTACTCTACGTGTACTGTTCCGATGTCCATTGGGGTGGTATGCCGGCCACTTGCCAGATGTAGAGCTTTTAAGCCGTACTTTGCCACCGTCTGCTTGCCGTATCACCACCTCACTTGCAACTCTGGATTCCAGGACTGTCGCTCCAACAATGGGCATGGAGCGGGAGCTAACCTGATAACAGTTGAGAGCGTGACAGAGTATCATATTTAAATAAGGCCGAGTAAGGTGGATCCCTTTGGCAAAAGTGAACACAGGCTTGGTGCTACAGGCATGGGCTGTCATGTACCGGAATAGCCAATACCGGGCATGTTTCGTCGACAGTAGATTGAACTGCGACGGCTCCACCGTATATGGCCGCGTCTTAGTGACCTTCAGGCGCAACGTGACCAAGTCAGGTGCGAGACTCCCAGCCTCCCACACAAATACTCTTTGGCTGTCAAACGAGTGAATACTAGTAGATGATGCTAAATACTCGCTGGCAAACAATAAGCCATACAAGGCCAGTAGTATACTTACCCACAGCATAGCCTGATCTACAATATGACTGATTGGATCGTTGTAAGTAGTGTTTAAACCGAACACGGATTCTTCGAACGAATAATCTATCGAATAATTTCGCCCTCCACCGAACGAATAATCTATATTCTATCATACACATGATGGCATTTTTCAACACTTTTTCAGCACTTTTTAAGTATTTTTTTTGAATATTTTTGCTGATTATCGGATTTTGTTATGTGGAGGTGCAAAACCGGTTAACCTGTACCGCCAAGAGTACATACCTGTACCGCCAAGAGTACATACCCCCCCCCCCCCCCCCCCAGAGTGTGCAACGCCTGATACAGCTCTGCATAGGGTCTTGGTCGAAAGTGGTCAAAGACCGAAAATCACATTCACTGCATCCATGTTTCCCTCGTATGGAAAGAACAAAAGTATTACTAGATACCGATAGGAGATTAAAACTTTGAGGAGGAGAAGAGATTGAGAAGAAATACTACGAGCAGATCTACGCAGTGCAAATATCAGTAGGGTGACTAGGGTCAGCACTGAGCATAGATTTTTTTTTCGATTTCTGATAATTCCTACGACTGTTCGATTATTCGTTCACCCCACGAATATTCTAAATTATTCGATTATTCGTTTCAACACTAGTTGTAAGTATTGACGAAAATGGATTAAGTCGTCCACTAATAGCTCTTTGAAACTCAGATGTTGAGCCAATATGGCAATATTAAAATTAATGTAGAAAGGAAAAGGACGTATGGATATGAGTGTAGAGTAACTGTCACTATATACTAAATACAGTCAGAAAGTGCAACAACCAGGCACTAAAACATTTGACGACCCGACTCCTGGCTTCAACACATCTCCGTAGTGTTAAGGAGAGACCAAAGAGGGAAAGGTAATACTGGTTTCGTCATCGTCCAGTAACAATCAACATTTCTTGTTCTTGTGGGACTGTAGCTTCAACTACTAGCTTGTGCTCATTTTCGTTGCGCTTACCTTCCCCTCTTTGGTCTCTCCGTTTAACCTTGAACCTTCCAAGTTGGAAGGCTGTTGGTTAGCGCTACGGAGATGTGTTGAAGCTAGGAGTCAGGTCGTCGAATGTCTCAGCACTCTGTCAGTTTTGTGCCTAGTTGTTGCATTCTTTTTTTACTGTAGACTGTAGTAGCTAGTTACAGTGGTGGACAGTTACTCTTAACTCGTATCCATATGTCCTTTTCCTTTCTAATAAAAGCTCTATCCGCAAATATGCCGAGGCGGCTTGCCGTCTCTCGCTCTATGCCATGCAACACAACTGTTGAGCGAGCAGCTTTTAGGCCAGCCCCATTGCACAACAGGTAATAGGCTACTAATAGCGTAACGCAGCTAGGTAAACACGAATCGATGAAAGGGGCAGACTTCTTAGAACAAAGAGACTAGTTGTGAAGGACACAACATTTTCAGCAGTCAGCAGTAGGAGAAATGGCTCTTAATTATGCAGCAATACTAGGCTTACATGTTTGTGTCATGCGTTCTGAGACGGAGTCCTTGACTAGCTCGTCACTGGCCGCACTCAGAGCAGCAGTCGTCACTGGCCGCACTCAGAGCAGCAGTCGTCACTGGCCGCACTCAGAGCAGCAGTCGTCACTACACATGGGTTGGGAAGCAATGGACAAAAATAACACTTGCCATGCACACATGCACTGCTTACCAGCTAAGTTAATATGTCATACTGTACTGCAGCAAGCAAGGAACTGGCAATACCTGCACCAGGCCTATCTACTGTGACCCATGCCATTGTGAATTAGAAAAGGCAGCATTTGCCAGTATGAGCGGTGTGATGAACGGGAATGCATAATACAAGCCAGTCGAGCATTGGTACATGTACTTACGGCGTCAAGTTGGCTGCACACCGCTCCACTGGCCGTTGATTTCACAAGTACGCACGGCCGAGCCCATAAGGACATAGGGAGATGTGCACACAAACGTGGTCGTGTTGCTGAACATCAAGCCGTTCACGGTCATTGAGCCCAGTGCCGGTGGTGACAGGACCTGGCAGTCGGTTTGACCTGCACAAGCACAGAGTGCACAGAGCACAGGCATTCAGTGCATGCATGTTTGGCCTAGAGGTGGAATGATGAGTGCCAAAATTGAGGACTCGAGTACTCTTTGAAAAAACGAGCGGGTATTCGAGCGAGTACGAGTATTTTACTGACAACGTAAAACAATGTACTGCACACACTCTCGTAACACTGAACGTATTACACCTGATACACATGTAGTCTTGCATGCAGCCTAGTGCAGGAAATAGTCTGAACTACGTCTTTTGTTGGTAAGTAGGGACAAGTAATAATTTCACACTTGCATGGGTTATCAGTACTGGTCAGAGTAACGGACGTGCTTGATGTACAAGCAAACAGTACCCTGTGCATAAGATACTTTGAGTATTTTGCGAAACGAGTCCTCACTCCTTTCGAATTTTCGAGCAAGCGCTCGAGTATTCGATATACTCGTTTCATCCCTAAAACGTTTGCGTATGTGTGCGTGGCACAGACGTTGGTTTTGAATACATTGTAGTACACGCATTGTGTAAAGGAAATTGATGCGAAGACTGCCTCAACATGGCCATGCAAAGTAATAAAATAAATACAGCAGTGAATAGCGGTCAACAGTAGCTCTCAGGGGCGTACATAGGGCGGTTCCCGGGATGCCCGGGAACCAGTAAAATAATTTCGATGTGGGTAGATCTACGGAGAATGTTTTGATCAAGGCCCAGCGTGCATGCAGTGCATGCATGCCTAGGCGGCGTAGTCGCCTGCAGTCCGCCTGACCGTCCGAGGACGGTGACAAGGCAAGGTGTAAAAGTGCTGCTGAGGCATTTTTGTGACACAGCGTAGATCTACTGAACTTACTGGGTGCAACGAAGTCTCTACATACGAGTTACAGCGATTCCTTGATCTCAGAGTCATTTCCTTTGCAGTTTGTTTCGACAAAGTTGGTTAAGTTTTTGAGGGACAATCCGGAGGACGCAATACCATACGACCAACTGTTTGTTTCTACCAGCGTTATTGTACCGTCGACACAGCTCTGACGACGATATACTGGGCGAATGCCGCGGGGCCTCCCAGCGTGTCAGCGGCAGTGGGTGATGGGCAGATAACAAGGTAGCTTGCGGACAACATCGGTGGCATGAAGCCTAGTGACTGGCAAGCGTCTTGGCGCGACGGGTGAGCAGTACAGTGTCATGCCCCAGGGGCTGCTGTGGCTGTCGACGTCGGCGGGTCGTGAGGTGCGTTCGCAGTGGCGCTCGGACAACTGCACTACTAGTACACAGACTCTCACTACTAGCTACATAGCACTCTGATTCTGGCACGTTATTTCTGCATTGAATAGTGATTGATTTTCCGCGCCGAATATCCGACGCTGCATGCATGTCCAATGCGCGTCAACAGTACTTTTAACACTTTCCTTTTCCCGCGTTATCACCTCAGCTATGCCAGTTTTGTATGTGGAAACCCCCTATATAATAGCAGTTTGGTCTATATCATTCAACATCTACCTTCACTGATGAGCTATGTATTGGCGAAACAGCTGTCTGAAGGAGTTAATCAATATCGTCTACGGAAGTGTCCTCGCAATGGTGATGGTTGAGTGCAGGAGGGTCTAGTCGGCTAAAGAGCGCAGTGTGGTGGTGGAGGTGACTCAACATTTTCTTCAATGGCCGAGAGCTCTGTCGCACCCTGTAATAATAATAGAAGTCATGGTACTACTATCAGTGCTGCTGCTGGTGCTTACCTGGAGCTGGTGTGACCTTGCCTGGGCAGTACTGTGCATCAGAGCCATCAGCACAGTCGTACCAAACACCGTCGCAGCGCTGTGATGGCAGGATACAGCCACTGGAACGCAGGCAGGGCAGGTAGCCAGACTGGCACTGCAGTTGAATGGCTGGATACACGTACCCATACACACAACACACAAAGCAGTCAAGAGATGAAGAAAGTGTCTGCTCGGCACATCTTTTGTACAGTCAAGAGATATTAGCATATTTGGAGGAGGTGGTAGCCTAAAACAGGCTCGACAAAAGTTACCGGCTTATGCCAACAACTCAGTGTTCTGGTAGAGTAGACGGTTCGATACCGGAACGCCTTGACAGCCAAATTTGTATAGACCCAAACCGATCATCAGCGTTGATTTTTCACTCGAAATATGTTTGTGGAAGGAAACTGGCATGTTGAAGTTTGCTCTGGGGCCAGAGTCAATCGCACTGAGCCACTCCTTTGTGTTGACCCATTGCCTCCAAGTTGCCCAATTTTTCGCTTCAAAAAAGTTCAAATCAGAGGTGGCTCCAAACCGGACACGTTTTAGAGTGCACGTCAAATTCACTCTGGGTCTGAAATTAGGTAATTGCTATCGCTCCACGACGGCCAGTACAGAGTAACAATAAGCCTTGTGTGTGCTTCCATTAGTTTTGATTGGTATGCGGTGCTTTATTGGCAAGAGGCGAGCCGCTGTTTACCTGCGACAAGAAGTTGATTTTTCGAAAGTCGTAAAACTCAAGTCGCAGTGCGAAGCAACACGCCGAAAACTCACCTGCTTGGTATGGCGCGTCTGGTCATCGCAGAGCCATGAAATTTTGGCTCGGAGTATAACACATCGTAATCTCACTGTGACATATGTTTTCTAATCAAAATGCCAAGAGAGAAAGTGAATATTGAGTCCGTTCCGGTTTGCAACCTGTGTCCTATTTGAAACCGTCGCCTCTACCCGGTGAAACACCCTAACCATACACCTACAAGTATAACATACATCCTAAGGACTCAGGCTGAGATGCCCGACTGGTCCTGGGTCCTGTGATTAGCACGATCATCATTTGTGATGATGAAAAGTGGCAGGTAACACCCAGACTATTACATGCTCTGTAAATAGGAAAGATCAACGTCACCAGAATCTGCCTTCCTACAAGCCTGAAGCTTCTCTACACAAGAGGGATATATTGGCTCTCTTGAAATTCAACTTACGATTACATGAGGCAGCTGCCCCACTCCAGGAACCGTCAATCTGGCAGATGCGCACAATGCTTCCCTGCAGGTTGTATCCGGAATTTCAGCCGAAGACGACGCTGCCTCCAGCAGAATAGTTTGTGCCCTGGGAGTAGCCGTTGGTCGGTTTAGCTAGCGGTGTGCACACACCGGCTGTACACGTCACAGGCACGTACACACACAGGCACGTACACACACAGGCACACACACACACACAGACACAGACAGACACAGACACACACACACACACACACACACACACACACACACACACACACCTTGACCTTGATACACAAGGATTCTTCATTATTTGCCACGTTTGAGCTGAGCTGCGATCATCGCGCTTTGTTGCAGTGTGCTAAAAAAACAAGAACAAAAAAACGGCCAAAAATGTGGGGCGGCTGAGGCCGCCCCAGCCACCCCAGCTGTGCCGGCCTTGCATGCCTGGTGTACGGTCTGAAAGATGAAGATGGAGCTCTTGTATACTAGGGCCTGGAAAGTCTGCTTCGCCTGCTCGGCAGCAGCTTCGTAGTGGTGGTCAAGGGTCGAAGACCGACGGATACGGATCAACTCCCCAGTGATCACACCTTTACCCATACTACGGGGGTGGTTACTACCGGCAAGCAGATACAGGAAACGATTGGTGACCTTGAAATGAGGCTTCACCGCCATGTATCCCTTACTACGGAAAACTGTGGTGTCCAGGAAATCAATGCCATCATGTGCCAGTTCATGCGCAAACTCGAGGGCCGAACACTTATTAATCCTGTCTAAAGCGCGCTGAACTTGACCTTCGCAACCATGCAATGAAACAAAAATGTCACTGATAAAGCGTCTATAAACCTGAACCTCTAAACCCTCCCCCTCTAAGATCGGCAAAATGTACCGATTCTCCAAATACAGCATAACAATGTCGGCATAGACCACTGCTGCAGGCGAACCCATGGCAGTCCCTTGGATCTGCGGAAACAAATCGTTATCGTACACGAACCCGTTAGTCTTCCGAATGACTGACATCAAGGAAGTCACTGCTGTTGTTAACCGTGTGCGAAGGGCCGGGGGCATCCACCTTGTATACCTGTGTGTGATATACCACGACAATGCCACGTGACCGAGCTCGTTGGGGATGTTGGTGTAAAGGCTGGTCACATCTATACTCAAAAATAAATGATCGTCCCGCACAGGCAAACCTTCTACCAAGTTGATGAAATCCGTAGTTCAGGCCAGAACAGTACTTTCCTCACGTACATACAGGTTCAGTAGAAAGTCAATGAACTTAGCGGGATAGTAGCCAGGACTATTCAGACTAACAATAGGCCTAACCTTCAGGGCACAGGGATTATGTGTTTTGATAAGTCTCCTGAAAACGGGCATCCGCCCCCGGTGCGACTAAGAACAGTGACATAAAATGGTCATATGATGCCCAATGCGATGCCTAGTCATGGTGAGTAAACAATGGACCGTATGCGTGTTAAAACAAAATGGCGTCACGATTTATTGAAAGTGGTATAGTTGGTGGTACGAGTGTTCAAACCCATTTGAACTTCATACTGTTCGTCTTCTTTTTGACATGCTCTCTTTCCATCGTCCTTAGCTTTTGTTTGTTGAGAGCTGTTTTGGCTTTCTCCTATACCTCTGGGGGGTGCCAAGTGATGGTTTTGAGAGGCTGGTGATGGCTGTGAGCGAGAGTTTGCCGATCGGCGTCGTCCTCGCTATAGCGATGAAAATACTAGTTACTGCGCACCTGGCAGATATCACAACACATCGGAGCGTCCAGGAGCAAAGGAATCTTGGGTTTTCACTGGAATCTAGTTCCTCCAGCATCGTGTAGCCCACCGTCGGTGAATGGCGGTCCAGAAAGGTCGAACCTGGTCTTCTGCAGCATCTCGCAGTCCTGCGAGGCACACTGAATACGCCTGTCATGTATTCTACCAATAAAAATCACGAAGTAGTGGACTTTACAGTGATGAGTCTATCCTGTATGCTGCAAAAGACGCAGGAAATGTGACTGGTGTCCATACACTGGACGCCAATATCATCCCAGTCTTCTCCTGCAGGATCTGTTTGACATTGACATACCGGTATGCAGTGGGTCGACATTGGCCTGGTTTGGCAGCTATTTGCCTGGGTGGATGTAGCAGGTTTGCATTGGCGCTTCGTCCAGTCCGACATTTTCTTGTAACTGTGGAGTACCGGCAGGGTTTGAGAGGTTGCTCGTGCTGTGAACACATCTCTACCGCCTGTCTCGTCCTGGAAGTGCCGTCTCGCCGCTTCCTTGCTCTACAGTCACGCCGTTATTTCGCTTTGTTTCGTGGTGCAGCTCAAAACCTGCCCAAACAACTGTGAGCTCGCAACATGGTATGGACAAATTGCACCACTCATGCTGGTTAACTAAAACCGGGATAGTCGAGTAAGCGAGTTCACTCCCTGGGCCATGGCAAGATCTGTTCAGCGCGGGCTATTCCAACCTCCAAGTGCATAGTCACCGATCGATCCATGCGATGGTGGTTGACCTACAAAGAGCCAAGGTCTACGAGTACTACTATTGGATGCTGTCTACATGCAGTCAACAAAATCAAAGTACCTCAGTATGCCCCAGAATAGGGCATGTGCATCTATAGCATGACACAACAGGGGTTCTGGCTGCACCTGTCAAACAAGCAGTAGCGACTAGTGCCAGCTACCTATTGGAGGCTAGCCGCTACAGTCTGTCACTGGAGATAATTATTATGTTCACTGTTTAGACTGAGCACAATCAATGATGCCCAATCAATCTGCCCAATGTGTGTTCTGTTCCACCTAATTATAACGTCCCATCGCATCAACCCTACTACACGCACATGTCGTCACTCTAGCACGACTTGTGTTATTATTGTTTATTTTGATTCGCACGATAAGTAGAGTACAATAAACGTTAACTTGACCGAAGGTTAAAGGCGACTGCAGATAGAGGAACACATCGAGGTACAGGTACCGGCATCAATACAGTATCAGAGAGAAACAAACAAAAATGAGAGGTACGCAGAAAAAACTCTCGTAAGCCCAAGGGGAAGTGGTTGATGAGGGATGAATGCACTCTCCACGCTCATCTACACTGTTCGTGGAAATGCACACATACATACAATAATATACAACATAGCAATAGCATGCACAGAACCGAACAATTTCATGTTCACACATGCAAGCACAGACCTGAACATTAGTACCAAAAGCCGATACAGACAATATCCCCATACACACAGACGCACACACACACACACACACACACACACACACACACACACACACACACACACACACACACACACACACACACACACAATGTCCCATGTATGCGCCCGTGGCGAGAAAAGCACGCAAATCTACAAATGCACTGGATGTGAACCCACAGATTTTCTCTTATAGCAACGATAGCGGATCTGATTCTGAATGAAACGCACACACAATACAATCATTGAATGCTTATCCGCAGATGATGGCAGGTCCTGAAAGAACAGGCAGTGTTCCAGTGATGGGGAACAGAACTTCGAGTGGCGAGTGAGGTATACACACACACACACGTGCGTGCGCGGGCACACACTAAAGTATTCAGAAATAGAATCGACATCGTAGTATTCATTGGTTGGGGAATGGAAAGGAAAATAAAACATTGCTGTAGGTTATTGTTGTAAGGACACTGGGAGCACAACAGAAAGGTAAGCAACTTGCTTTGAAGCAAAGAAAGTTATTATTCCACGGATCTCAGAAGGAAGGAACGTTCCAGAATGCTGCACTGGCAACAGGCGGCCTGCATGTGCGCGGCCCCTGCAGTCGGTCCAGCTGCCGGCCTTGCAGTGCTGAAAAGAATGTGCAGTACAGCATGTCACATAGTATCGCAGCCTGGACAAATAGGCGCTGGGAAGTCCTAGTTATGTGCTCACCTACACCACGATGCACCAATCTTCTGAGCTACTTTGGCAACAACAACTTTGTCCACTTGAGACTCCCATGGGCTGAGCCAGTTGTTGAGGGCTGCATCAAGGTGGACGGCAATGACCGCTGATGGCAAGGTAATCCATGACACACAGTCACTAGGGCATCGTCAACATGGCGCTGAGGCTGGATCGATAAAATCAACCTTTAGGCTGCCGCGGGGTTGACAACGAGGCCGCTGTCTCGAAGCTAGTCAGTCAGCCTGGTCACCGCCATTGACGAACCAGTCGCCACCGCCAGCAGTGGCGGTAGGTTGTGACAAGTGTGGTGCAATATTGTCAGCAAATTCAGTACTCAGGATAAGATGAGTGACAAAGGGAACGTTGTGTTTGATAATATTGAAGTGAACAGGGATGATCACAAACCCTGCGCGTACTCCACCGTGAGTTACAAGAAAATTCCGGACTGGACGACGAGCAAACACCAACCTGCTACATCCAACCAGGCAGATACTATTACGATAGCTGCCAAACCAGGTCAATGCCGACCTACTGCATAATGTCAATGTCAAACAGATCCTGCAGGAGAAGACTGGGGTGTTGGCGTCCAGTCACTGAGTGTACAGACACCAGTCACATTTCCTGCGTCTTTTGCAGCATACAGGATAGACTCATCACTGTAAAGTCCACTACTTCGTGATTTTTATTTGTAGAATACATGACAGGCGTATTCAGTGTGCCTCGCAGGACTGCGAGATGCTGCAGAAGACCAGGTTCGACCTTTCTGGACCGCCATTCACCGACGGTGGGCTACACGATGCTGGAGGAACTAGATTCCAGTGAAAACCCAAGATTCCTTTGCTCCTGGACGCTCCGATGTGTTGTGATATCTGCCAGGTGCGCAGTAACTAGTATTTTCATCGCTATAGCGAGGACGACGCCGATCGGCAAACTCTCGCTCACAGCCATCACCAGCCTCTCAAAACCATCACTTGGCATCCCCCAGAGGTATAGGAGAAAGCCAAAACAGCTCTCAACAAACAAAAGCTAAGGACGATGGAAAGAGAGCATGTCAAAAAGAAGACGAACAGTATGAAGTTCAAATGGTTTTGAACACTCGTACCACCAACTATACCACTTTCAATAAATCGTGACGCCATTTTGTTTTAACATGAATATCGCGGATTGACTCGGGTCGCAAACACGAAGTCTCAACACAGCCTTGAGCCTGTTGGTTGCCATCGGCAGTCTAGCCACATGTTCATCTAGCCCCTCAGGAAAAAAAACAGTCATTTATAATGTTGGGCATTGTGATGCTGGGCACGACCTATATCATCATAGTGAGATCCGTCCAGGACTACTATCACAATAGACTGCCTTTGAATATGCCTGAGTCCGATCGCGTTCTAGCTCCTGCATCCTGGGCAAAAAAATAAGTAAATAAAAATAATAGCAACACATGAGGGACCTCGGATGGAGAGCCAAGGATTAAAATTAAAAAAGAGGACCATAAGTTTACGAGTTATCCGTTTTGTCCAACACTAACGGGTATAAACGTGATGCAGCTAAGCATCAGGTCGTTGAATGTCATGATCTCATCAGTCAGTTTTTGTGCTGATTGTTGCACATTTTTGACTCAGCAGTATTCTGCATATAACCGTTAGTGTTGGACAAAACGGATAACTTGTAAACATGAGGGAACACTCATCCTTACCCAAGTCCCAACGTCAGCACTTGGCGCCGCTCCGAACCAAGAGGAACATTGGAGAGATCGTCCATCAGCTCCTCTCTCGTCCTGCGATCAAATCGCCTAATGCTAAAACACAAGAAGATAGGAAAGGCAAGTAGAATAAATAAATCAATAAAATAATAAACAACAATACAAGTTTGAACAGCTGCAAACGTAATGGACGATCCGAACAAGACCAATGATATACCTAGAAATTCTAGAAGGCACTAGGAAACATCCATACCTGCTCAAACTGAAGAGGACAACATAGAAAAAGGTAAAAGAGGGCACTACTCAAGTGTTCCTGGGATAGCTATGGTCTTCGCTATGCTATTGATTTGCAGTCTGATTCATCTGAAAAACGAAGTTTCAACTTTCAAGCATTTAATTTACAGCCCTACCCTCGTTAGTATGACATCGGTTGCAAGTCAAACCTCATTAGTAGACAACGATCCAAAATCCCATGAATCATTAGCAGTCGTACATGCAAGTCCGGATAAGAGATTATTCGTTTGTAGACCAAATTCGTTATAACGTCCCCTTCAGCTGTCCCACAGGTTTGAATTCTCATAACAAGAAAAAGCGGATGGCCGAGGATAGCTCGATTGATATTTCATGTTGTCTTGTATCGGGGTCCGATGAAACATTGTCTGATAATGGGTTGTCTTGTACAGGGGTCTGGTGGAAAACACTGTCTAATAACCAGGAAACATCAGTTCTGATGTGGACACAATATGGATGATGCAAAGCAGCAGAAAAATGTACTCGTTATCAGACAAAAAAAGTTGATACCCCCAGGGTTGTCTTCTAACAAGGGTAGACCTACGAAATAGTGGTTGCGACTTCGGCGAAGATTGTTAGGAAAGGGTTTGCTCTCGACACTGGAGCTCACGCTATTCCGCCGCCTTGACTTTACACTTGACTGACTGATAGCTGCCACCCAGAGCACACGAAAAGTCCATCCAACCTTCCACTCGGAAAACCTGCAAGAAGGGACCACTCCCTGCTCAATACACAGTGTTTCGGGAAAATTTACCCTCGTCAGTCGAGTTTGAGTAGGCTGAGGAAGATTGTGCCTGAGAAGCACCATTTATATAGTGCTCTCCAGGTCCAAACATCACCAGGGATACAAACTTACAGAGACGCTCCGTTTGCAGCGCGACAAACACCTCGTGAGCACCAGATAGCAGTGCGAGTCAGTGTCGCTCCTGGACGGTGAAAGCTGTATATTGACACAGAGAGAGAGAGAGAGCGGGGGAAAGAGAGAGAGAGAGAGAGAGAGAGAGAGAGAGAGAGAGCGAGAGAGAGCGAGAGGGATAGAGAGAGAGAGAGAGAGAGACACACACACACAAACACACACACAGACAGACAGACAGACAGACAGACAGACAGACAGGCAGACAGAAGGAGAAAAGACAGAGATCCGGGATGTGACATCATCATGACATCGGCCGTTGCTGTGTATGTTGGATCCAAGGTAACGAAAAGACGACACATGGGCAATCTCCATGGTTCGAGTCGCGAGCGGCTCTAGATCGTCGTTAGAGGTGTTGGGGCCAGAAACCATGAACTTGGTTTGGGTGGGGGGGGCACACACACACACACACACGCACGCACGCACGCACGCACGCATGCATGCATGCATGCACACACCTCAGACCTCAGACATGCCCATCGCGGAAGCGATGATAGCGAACAGCTATGTTAGACATAGCAACTTGTGCTGGGATTACACCATTCAACAGCTTGCAAGGCTGATGAATTGACCGCCACTATTTTTAGCCTGGTATCCACCACACAGCTGTTTGAAGTGACTTTTTCTGGCCAGTGAATACCTATTTTTCATTTTTCCATTTTTTTCTACACACACACACCACACCACATACTCCGGCATACACTGGCTGTTGGTAACCACCCAGGAGAATGAAAGGAAAGTCAGGAAGAGTCCGAGAAAGAGAAGAAAGACGTGTGCGACCATAATCGTCGGGAATTGAACCCGCAACCTCTCGATTGGAAATCGACTGCACATACCACTGCACCATATGGGACACACACACACACATACACACATACATACACACACACACACACACACACACACACACACACACACACACACACATACACACACCTTCCTTCCTTCCTTCTTCCACTGCCATGACTGGCTATGTGGCCCCATACGGGGCAGACCAGGAGACGTGTTGTCCACCGGGCGGGGAACGCCATACTCAGCGCGCGCGCGGGCCGCGAACAGCGTTACACTTGTGCGTCGCAATATCCTGTGGCCGACGAAAACTGCGCGCACAAGTGCCACAAATGAGGGGCATCGCCACAGGCTCCATGCGGGACTGGACAGTAGCGTCGACAGCGTCACGGCAGGTGACCCGCCATCCATGTCGATCTTGGACGATGTCACCAAGCTGCTCCAGAGGAACGCCAACACACACACACACACACACACACACACACACACACACAGACACACACAGACACACACACATACACACATACTTTGTACCATGTATATGCCCGTCACAAGAAAAGCACGCAAAGTTGTGGAAGTCAGGTCTCGCTGGACCAACCGGAATGGAGCTGCTACGTGCCTGAGCATGCAGCTTTCCCCATGTTGCAGAAGGCAATGCAGTGCTGCAAGTGGCAGGCAATCCTACGTGAAAAATTGGCACATACACCTCCATATTAATAATTCCAACGAGAGAGCTCAGTTGAAAGCTCAGGGCCCTCACTATCTTTTTTGCCTAGGTTATCATGCATTATGCGATAGCAATAAACAACAGTTTTATTCGGCTAAAATAAAGGATACCAATAGACCCCACTTGTACTGGGCTGAAATAAATTGTTCATCGTTGTTATTGCATTTGGTTTTTCATTTCGATATCGCACAAATAAAGAGCGCTTGGGCTTGAAGGCTAGAGAGGGCTTGACCGCCCAGGAGCCCTCGCTATGCTTAATATTTGCCTAGGTCATCATGTGTGTTGTTCGAACTGATAGAAACGTCTTTGCAATACAAAACATGTGCATGACAATCAAAACTTTAGTTCATAAACGCACATCGATACATAACTCAAAACTCAAACTCTCAGACAGGTACATTCTACCAAGTAAAAGTAAATATAATAATAGATTACGCTTTGGTACTAGCTTATTTCATTTTTTTCAAGCCCTGTTTCAACACGTGGCCAGCAGTCTTTGCCAGAATGGTACGGGACATCAACGGAATAGGGCCAGGCTGGTGCGTAACATGATGATGGCCCCGCACACCGAACAAGTTCGAGCATGAGAGCATGTATTTTCTCCTGCTGAATGGATGCCTGTGCAGCGGTCTCTAGCTGTCAACGCGTTTTGTCACGAAGGCGGTGAGTCTCCAAACGACGGGATATTTGCTCCGTCGTTTCTTGCTGTTGGCATAGCCTTTCGCAAGCACGGCGACTCTCGAGGCGGCGGGACCTCTCTTCTCCCTTCTTCTACTCTCTGTGTAGGCACTCCTGCCGACGCCGTCTGCTCAGAGCTTTAACACTGTCACCCCTGTCATTTTGCTCTTCCTCATAGTCCTCTTCTAATTATCTCAGCATTCTATTTATACAACAACTACGACCATTAAAACACTGCAATCTACCCGATCCTTACATTCCCAGCCCATTAGTACCACACCCCTAAACTTTCGACCGATAGTACGACACGTTCTATGGTCTTTTGAAATCAAACCGCGACCATTACAATAATGCGATCTAAACCATAATGAGCGTTAGCATGCTAACGCAAGTTAGCAGGCAGCCCAGCGAGCTGGCCCGACCTGCACGCATGCGCGAGTCACATGGTCATGCGCCCTCCAAGATCCTGTACAATGTCTCTTGCATGTCATTGCTGTTTTCGACTTTCGAGCATGCAACTTGCGGAACATGCGTTCCCAAACAATTTCCTCCACAATTGTGCTCGCCCCGGTGTATCTTGCTAAGCTCAATGTTAAAAGTGCATTCTGCCGAATTCCCGTCCGCCCGGAGGATTGGTCCTTGTCGATCCGCTGGCAGGATCAATACTTTTATGAGAGTGCCCTGCCCTTCAGACTGTATTACGCTCCAGTCCAGCTATATGGAACTCTGTCGCATCCGCCAGTGAATGGATTATGTGCTAGCAGTTCGCACTCACACGCCTGTTGCATTACGGGGAATACCTCAACTAACGTTACTTCCTCAGTGCATGCTCTGGACTTGTGTTAGCTTGCCAGCAATTCGCTATTCTGCTCCGAGCGTTTACATACTTCGATGTTTCTCTGGCCCCAGCAAAAGTGGAGGGTCCTGCTCAAGTCCTGACGTTATTGGCATCATCCCATTACGGGGAGTACCTCGACTAACGTTTCTGTCTCCATGCATGCTCTGAACTTGTGTTAGCTCGCCAGCAACTCGCTACTCGGCGCCGCGCGTTTACATACCTCGGTGTTTCTCTGGCGTCAGTAAACGTGCTTCCTCAATGCATGCTCTGGACCTGTGTTAGCTCGCCAGCAACTCGCTACTCGGCGCCGCGCGTTTACATACCTCAGTGTTTTCTCTGGCGTCAGCAAAAGTGGAGGGTCCAGCCCACGTCCTGATGTTTATCGGCGTCATCCTGGACACCCGCCGTGCTAACATCAGTATGCCTATGGACGAACTTGCCGAGCTTCGTGATCTCCTTCGGGCCACTCTTCACACAGCTTCAACTACCCAATGTCAACTCGAGTCTCTTCTGGGAAAGCTCCCGTTTGCTACAAGAGTGATAGCCCCTGGATGCAAATTGCAGATTGTGGTCACTTGCCAACTGGTACCGGCAGCCGTGTTACCTGATCAAGCTCTCCAAAGAGTGCCTCAAAGATCTTCGCTGATGGCCTGAGCTCCTGGATTAGCGGAACGGCCGGTCCTTCTTCCTACACCCTAAATGGACGCCGTCCCCTGACTTGCTGGTATTCACTGATGCAAGTGGTGCACTTGGCCGGTGCTCGTACAATTGCGACCGGGGATAGGGCGATGGACAGTCAATCAAGCAGAGCAGCAATCGCAAAGGGTTGTTTGCAATTGTGGCAGCCCGCAGCACCTGGGAAAACTAGCGGCATCAGCTGCGAATGCCAATCGATGGGCATTTACAGCAACTGCGAGGATATTGCTCATCAGTTGTGGCTTTGGCCTGGCGTTGTACACCGGCCACTCGTTTCGAGTCAGCTGCGGGACTCGATATTCAGAGAGGCGGGAAGGTGGAAAGCGATGTCTGCCCGAGTAACATTCGGACGCCACCTGCAGCCAAAGTATGGGTGGCTGCGGCAATGGCCTCAGCCCATGATATCAAGTTCTGACAGTCTTTACCTAGCTTGCACCGCTTATAGATTGCACGGGTAGCTGCACTTTGTGATCCGCTCCGGGAGTGCCGATTTATAGAATATATGCTCTCAACTGGTTATGCATACCAATATATTAGCATTTGGAGGCTCTACTCAGAGTCATTGGCGGCTCTACTCAGAGTCATTGGCGGCTCCATGCGGAGTCATTGGCGGCTCCATGCGGAGTCATTGGCGGCTTCATGTGGAGTCATTGGCGGCTCCATGCGGAGTCATTGGCGGCTCCAAGCGGAGTCATTGGCGGCTCCATGCGGAGTCATTGGCCGCTCCATGCGGAGTCAATTTGCGGCTCCATGCGGGGTCATTCGGCGGCTCCATGCGGGGTCATTCGGCGGCTCCATGCGGGGTCATTCGGCGGCTCCATGCAAAGTCATTCGGCGGCTCCATGCGAAGTCATTCGGTGGCTCCATGCGGAGTCATTTGACGGCTCCAAGCGGAGTCATTTGCCGGCTCAGCTGCGAGCCATCTAGTGGCTCCAAGCAGAGCCATCATACCAGTTGCTCGAATCGGCACTCCCAGCTTAATCCAAAACTCAGTTGCTCTGTTGTGAGGTGGGGGGATGCTAACCTAGGAATGGGTTTGCTCCCCACACTGGAGCTCGCGCTATTCTGTCGACTTGACACTTGACGGACTCACAACTGCCATCCAGAGTCGCCACCACTATTTCTAAACCATACGGCTAATTATTTTAGTTAGCTATCCACTTACCGGTACAGTAAAACCTGTGACTACCGACCACCCCTTGGTGCCAGCAAAAGCGGTCTTTAGTACAGTCAAATCTGTCGTAAGCGACCGCCCCTTGGTCCAAGAAAAAGCGGTCTCTTACGGCAGATGTATGGTAAATCCGGCATACCGGGCATGCATATAATTATGCTTCCATGTACTCAAATCGACGAGAATAATGTGATTTTTGATATCATTTTCATTGGATATTCAATAGAATATAGGGGCGCACTTGCAAGACAGCGCATTTCACACCTTGCAGGTGACAGCACACTGGCAAGTACAGTTTCGCACCTTACTGAACGTGGGTCGCGGTCGCTTACAGTAGATTTGAATGCAGCCACCGTGCATGAAATCGCGGTCGCGCACAGCAGATGGTCGCTCTGGACAGATCAATTTGTATGTGAAACCGTCGGTGCACGGAAAATCGGTCGCTAACGGCAGATGGTCGCCTACAGCAGAGGTCGCTAACGGCAGATATTACTGTAGCAGGTGGTCTTTAGTTAGAGGTTTGCACCGCGTGACCATATGTGGATCCCATTATATGATATGTATGTCAAAATGCAGCTAATACAATTCCCCAGGACTTGCGCAATGTCAGAAAGACGGAGAGATGGAGAGAGAGAGAGAGAGAGAGAGAGAGAGAGAAGATTAATTTTTTGCAGACTTCAAATTCAGCTGCTACTTCTGAAGCCAGGAGTCAAACGTTCCCTGGGGAAGTTTCGTTTCGCGCTGGGCTTCAAATTTGTTCATGCGATCAATCATACCGACTGTCCTTGTTGTGACTTCTCGATTGCTTGAACGCGATCCTTCAGCGTCAGGACCTTGTGGTGCTGCTTTGTTTCTGGATTCCTTGATGCCATCGTCGATCCGTCTGTATGACTGGGGTGACAGAGCCGCCCAGTCTTCGTTTCTCCTCCGAGTAGTAACATCGATCAGAGAGCGCTTTCGATGCGCTCTCCAAGACGTTTCCTATCATGTCTTTTCTTGACAGCGCTTGAAATTTTGACAGGTGTAGTGCAGTCCACACCGACTCCACAGCCCAAATTACCTGCGTTCATTTGTTCAGCTGTAGTATCGAAAGATGATGATGATAGGGAAGGCCTCTTTTACGGGCAAAGCAAAGCACAATCATCACCATGTATCAGTACAGTGAGTAGTTAAACCCAACACGAATGAAAAATGTGAAATGGAATAAAAACAATATTTGTAAAAAATAAATAAATTAAAATTAAAATTCAATATCGAACACGAATAAAATAAAATAAAAATATGTAAAAAATAAACAATATCGAACACGGAATTAATTCCGGAACTATCTACTCAACCAATTCATAATGCAATACCCGCACAGTGCGTCAGTGATGGAACTCCGCTACCCGATCAACATGCAGAGACCACTCAATCACATGCTTATAAGCCGCTCTCCACAATGGCCAACTCCCTCATCGCATTAACTGGACGATGGTAGGCCGAACGTGCACCGCGAATGCACATTATGGCTGCCCTGAGCAAAGCGAAGGACAAGCGACACCGCACATAGGCCATTAGCTGGGCATACGGTCGATCGGCAGTTGCCAGCAATGCACACAACCGCTTAATGAATGCAGTACACTCCGGAGCACAACAACCCGCCGTGGTAAAGACTAGAGGGGTAAATGAACCACGGTCGACATTGTTGATACGCTCGGCATACTCACTCTTCTTGCGGCGCTCATGTTGCTTCAGAAGATCACTGACGGGCTTGCTCTTGTATGATGCTGCATCTGGGTGGAAGACCCGGACATCGAAGAACGCATTCTGAGCCCGGGTCCAGAACCCACGAGCTCGGACATCAGCACGGGCGTCGTTCGCGGTGTTGGTTGATGCCGATAAAAACACCTCGCCTGTGATCGGAGCAAGTACAGGCTCGACTGCCACATCTGAGCATACCTCCGTCAGAAGATCCGCCACGATATCTCTTACTTCATTGTGGCGAATTGTCGGGAAACCTCCGCGGGGGCAAATCATCGCATGCGTCGCGTCGAACGGCTCCCCACACACACAGCTCGCTGGTGTGTCCAAGAGAGACCAACCATAGCGGAGAGCTAGAGCGTCGCGGAAGTCTCCCTTGGACAGATGGTGCCCATGGTCTGCCAGAGGCAATACCCCGAGCGAACTCGACACGCCTTTCGTGGATAAACTCTCCAGCCGGCGAGCCAGGGCAGGGGACGCACTGCTCTTGATCGTGACGAAATCATTCTGCTCCCTCTGACGACGGTCATGCGCTAGCCGTGTCTTCTCGCTTAGGGCTGCCTGGCGAACATCCTCCGTGGAGTTATGGGTGTATTGATCATTCTGGTGTACAATCTCCTCCACCTGAAGGGCCGTTACAGCTCTCGACGCAGGGAGCTCTGCCATACCCATTTGCTGAAAACACGGCAGGGCCATCCCCCCTAGTCGACAGGGCAGGCGGAGAAGGTTCAATTCTTCTGGTAGGAAGGAATCACGGCCCGCTAGAGCAGGTAGAAGCTCCTCCGTGATCACCTTGTCAAGGTCGGTAAGGCATTGTGCAGGGAAAGGTACTGTACGCAATAGGTAGGTCCACCTACCACGTAAACCATGAGATATTGCAGCATAGGCAGCATGTGGCTCCGTTTTTGCAATCTCTGTAAGCTTCTTCAGCTCTTCCTTCCACTTCGCCACCCGTTGCTGCACACTTTCCGCGACCGCCTCTTCCGATCCAATCTCGGAGCCGAGATAACGCAAGCTCCCCGTGACAATCCGGATCCCTGTCTCGGCAAACACTTGGCGTGCTTCCTGCTCCAGCTCTGGCTTGACAAGGAGCTGGGTCTTTTCGGAGTTCGTGAAGTATCCGTATCGCCGTCCAATTGCCTGCAGCTCGTCCCACCACAACCGGATCTGTCTCAGCCTACCTGCTCCGCTGGAATCATCCGCATACCAGCTCTGCCGGACTGATGTGTGCTGCTCCTGGAGACGAGTGATGATCGGTATGGTGGCAACTGCGTAAAAGGCCATGGAGAGGGGGTCGCCCTGAGTGGTTCCCTCACTCGACTTGACTTCCCCTCCACCTGCAACAAATAAACGTGCAGCCGTTTGATAGGAGTTCATGATGACGCTGGAGAGGGCAGGACATAGCCGCTGGACATTGTGTAGCGCCGCTTCTCTGTTCAAGCTGTTAAATGCATTGCGAGCATCCACCAACAGCACTCCATCTGTCTCCTCGTCATTGTAAATCTGCTGCACCGCATGCACGGCCGCCTCTATCCCAGCTGGTTGGCCCGCACACTTCTGGATAAATCCGCAGGCTTTCTCAATATCCGGGGCTGCGACACGAAGTACCGCCTTAGCAACAATGCACCTCAACACCTCGCCAACCCCGATTGGGCGGACCCCAGGCTTCTTGTCCAGTGCAATTAGCCGACCAGCAAGAAATGGAATGAGGCCCTCCGATGGTATGACACGGGTCGCAAGCAAGCGGGCGCAATCAGCCATTGCTTCGAAAGATTCTTTTCAGGACCATGGAAAATCAGTAAAATTTCAAGAAGGAGCTTCGAGCAACATTTGATTTCCTACATCGCGGTCGCTAGTTACGGGTCAAAAATTGTGTTTGGGACAGGAAAAGGTGGTCGCTGGTCGCGTTCAGAAGGTAGTCGCTAGTCACAGTGCATTTTGAATGTGAGACCTTCCGTGCCTGGCGAAGTGGCTGGCAGTACCAGGCTGGTCGCTAGTGACGGTGGTCTTTAGTTACAGGTTTTACTGTATATCCCTTACCGAAATTGTATTCTTGAACGCAATATTCTTCTTTCTTTTTCTTCTACTCCGTTCCATCAGCACTCGGCCGATGGCAGGAGACTGGTACCCACTGGGCTAGCATGCAGCAGCCAAAGCTGGGGCCTTTTCTTACTCCGTCAAACCCACTTCTTAAAACGAAACTGACGTGCATATTCACATTGCATGTTGTGAATGTCCCCATATTTGCCCCGACATCTTAGCTCGTACAGCGCTCCAGATACATCTATGCTACGGTGCGCACCGCATACTCGAATTACGGTACGGGACACATACGGGATACTGCACCAACCATGGCATGCCACGTGAACCACCCTACCAGGCACCGTGACACGCACCGAATTACAGCGGTGTGGATACTGGCTAGCGCCAGATGCTACTAAAGTACAACTGAATAGCGTCTTTTGCATAGCTACGGGAATAACCTCATATCCCAAGCATTGCAGCTCTGCTAATAGAATAATTCAGGTTACTCCCACTCCATTTCTCTAGTGCTTATTTTTCTGAAAAAAATATCATCTTTGGCACCAGAATGCTGCCACCAAGAGTACATTAACCAGAGTGTGCAGCCCAAATAGAATCATCCCACGGCAAAGTTTATTGTTTAGGGCATAGACTCGCAATAACAGGCTCACCTTTGCTGCATCTCACACCGCTTCTCACGGTCATCTACTCTATCACCATAGTAATTTCTGTGGCACATTGCTGCTTGTTTAACAAAAACGTAGAAAACACACCGAATTTCCAGGTAATTACCATGGTTATACGGTACTTTAGCTTGAACCTATTGAATGCAGCCTGTCAGTGGCGTTATGCCCTCGAAGTATAAAAAAAAGTATAGTACTTCCGACCGGGTCGCAGGTAACCCAGTGTTCTTTTTCCAAAAGGTCCAAGTACTCACAAACAGGGCCACTGACCTGGCTCTGGAGCAGACACTGGCAATCTAGGTCCAAGTTTGCTCGATTATGTTCTGACGCTTCATGTGCTTTCATAGCCAAGGTTTCTCACTTTCTTCGCAAGCTCTTTTAGTCTTGAGAGTTGACAACTGCTTATGGTTGTGTTGGCAGAAAACATGTCAGCTAATCTGACAACCGTCCAACCCCATTTTACTGGTAAGTAATCAGCGAGTGGCTTTGATGGGGCCATACTATATTTGTGCTTCCTTTTTGAAAACACGTTCTCGCTCGAAGGGTTTCTAAACTTTATCCCTGCGCTCATTGATGGAGTTCATCGATGGAGTTGCCAGCGGCACTCTACAGAAGAACAATGTTGTCAAGTTTTTTTATGAAAAGTTGTCAAACATTTTCAAATTGCTATAAGTTTGGTTAGGGTCGGGTTCCACTGCGGCTCCGCAGCTCCGCTGCTCCACGGTACTTGGCTGCATGCAGCAGAGCGGCGCGGTTCCAGTGACACTCGCCATTCACGGTACCGCGATCGTGCTCGACGTTTTTTGATGACATTTAGCCTGTCTGCGCGCGCGTGAAATCCAAAAAAATCCTCGTGTTCTGGCCTGTGCAACGAATTAAAATTCCCCCGAATAAAACAATTAAGTGCGGGAAACAATGCAAGCCGTGACCACGGCTTGCATTTTTTTGTATCAAGCAGCGAAGCGAAAGCTGGTGATGAGCCGCGGCCTCGCTGGACCAGCTCGTAATGATGACGTTTCATGCCGTGGGTGATGTGCGGCGGAGCGGCAGTGGAACCCAGCCCTTAGGCAAAGGAAATTTGTCATTAATTTGTTTATGCTGCATAGATGGAGAGCTGCACACTCTGGCTTATGGACTCTCGCCTACAGTGTAGTCGTACTGCTAGTGTACTGGCATTACAGAAGACACGAAAAACGAGAACATAATTATGGCGAGAAAGTAATTACTGGCTAAGAATTGCCCTAAGACTTACCGCTTCTCAGTGCTCCATACCAGGAAGTAGTACAATACCTACTCCCTGCTCCATACGAGTGTTTTCTCCTCATTCTCTGCATCCTTTACCCCAGGAGTCTCGTCCATTTAGCGGCTCAAATGCTTGAGCTCCGGATAGCGGAAAATAGCTCGTCGTCCATTAGCGGCTCTAATCGTACCTGGTCTGAAGTGTCGCAGTCTAGCAACTATGATTTTTTCCAGGAGGGTAAGGGTTGCAAACCCAAAGAGACCCCAAGCTTCGTCTATCAAACAAAACAATTGCCCTAAAAAATGGAAGAGGAAAAGAGTGAGCGAGCTGGTCTGATCATGAGCGCGCTACTTTTCAAAAAATAGAAGCTGAAAGCCATCAAAGTCAAACTCAAACAGTCAAAGCATTCTGGCTAGCGCGTTTGTGTATGTCACAAGCGCTAGCCGCTAGCGCGCTAGTCTCAGCAAACGCTCGCAGGCCAGAGTTAGCGCTATTTGGGCTGTTTGCCGCACGCGGCAGCTGGATGGATCACGTGATCCAAGCTGACAAATAAGGTCCGATGGTTCAGCTACATTGAGCCACAAGCCATGTCGACCGGGGAGTCGTAAAATATTTTACGACTCCCTGGTCGATCGAGAGTCCAGTCCCGCGCAAAGTGAAAATCACTCGCAGTTACAGGTGACTGTATGCCTGCACGACACTTGAGTTGTTTCAGTTGTCGTTGCAGCTTTGGTGGACTCTACTGATGTCTTGTTCCGCATCTGCTGACCTGTCGCAGGATTTGCTTCGGTCACCTCTCCATTCGAGTGAAAGTTACGCTCAGTCGTTTGGAAGTTTTTTCCCGCGATGCAGCGAAGACCAGGGCTACTTGCAATCTTTGCAAAACGGTCTATTCTTACAAAGGCTAATCGACGATGGCGCTGAAAAGACATCTCGACACCAAACAGCAGTCCGAAGTGAAGCAGCAGCAACCCCAAATGCCGTCGGTGATAATTTGAACCAGCTGAAAAAAATCGAACTTAGAAAAAAATTATTCAAAAAAATATTCATATTTGCCACATCAATGAAACTCGTTAGCTCGCTCGATAGCTTGCTCGTTAGTGGAACTGATCGCTCGTTTGTTATAGATACGCTCGTTTCAACACTACCAGATATAATGCTAGCATTATCCGCCGGGGCCTACCAGCCTCTCAAAACCATCCCTTGGCATCCCCCAGAGGTACAGGCTAAAGCCAAAACAGCTTAGAACAAACTAAAGCTAAGGACGATGGAAAGAGAGCATGTCAAAAAGAAGACGAACAGTATGAAGTTCAAATGGTTTTGAACACTCGTACCACCAACTACACCACTTTCAATAGATCGTGACGCCATTTTGTTTTAACACGCATATCGCGGATACATGGCTAAAAAACGTGATTTTTGGACACACACTTTCGCGTCTTTCCATGATACGACAAGTTGCGCACGGTCTGCTCACATTCAAATACAGTGCCGCCGAAAAATGACAGCTTGCAACAAAAAAATCTTTCCTTGCAAGGGGACATTTTCGGCCATAACTCTTGAACGGCTGGTCAGATCGAGACAAAATGTTCAGAGAATTTGCAGCTATTCATGCTCTTTCAACTGATGTAGCACTCGATATGAATTTACAAATTCGATTTTTCAGTACGGGTAGTACGTTGTATGGTTAGGAGAAACACTGGGTTGGGAATGCAGATTTTACTGGAAGTACAACGTAATTCAGCAGATATCTCTATCACTCGGATGGAGAACCGTAGTTAGAATTAAAGGAAAGAAAAAGGAGCAAGGAACTACAAGTTACGCTATACTGTCCACTAACTCCACCAGTTACTGTACAATCATCTCATGTGATAGCATTGCACGAGACTGAGCAACGGTACTGACGTTCTACAACTGCTGTCTCTAACTGTGTATGGATAGAGATCACAAAGATCTAGCATGCAGTGAACTTGTTGATGACTAGCATCTCCACAATACACACTACTCTACACAAACACACGAGTACATGGAGGTGTTGTGTAAGTGAATCAGTCAATCCATGAGCTTATAGTGGGATGCGTAATGGTCAAAGTAGACTACTGTACTGCTCACATACACATGTATTCACAACTACTGTCTAGTGTAGTTGTATGCTGGGTTTCAGGTGAGCACTTTACACCTCAAACTTTCCCTCTTTTCTATGCTCTTTCTCAATTCATACTAGTTCACATTTACAATTCTAGTGTCAGCTACTACAGCAACAGTCACAGCAATGTGACAGCATCCTTCGCCTGTCACACACACTCGCATACTATACTAGCGGATGGCCTTTTAAACGCACTTTTTTCTCTTTTTCATAAAAATTATTAATGGCAATAAATAAGATAAATTGTGCACTCACAACAGCAACGGAATATTACTCAATGACAGGTGTTAACTCTTTCATTTACGAAAATGGCTATGAAAAAGAGAAAACAATCGACGAGGAGACAATTATAGTCGTAAAATGGCAATAAATAAGATAAATTGTGCACTCATCAACAACAGCAAAAATGAAGAAAGTCAAGTTCCATAACGTTTTCTTGTGACTGTCATCAGTGGAACGCCGTCACATAAAAATTTAATAACTAAAACACACACTTATATACATGTAGCTAATACGGTTTCAGGTAGAAATACAGCAGCTAACAAGTACAAAACATCGTGACCCTGTGCTATGTAAACAGAAAGAAAGTAATACACACGCACCATTACATTCATTCACACAGTATCACATTCATCTGCCACTACCTTTCTCACATACACTATATTCACACAGTGCAAAGGTGCAAACTTCGCTTTTTGTACTTGTTAGCTGCTGTATTTCTACCTGAAACCATATTAGCTACATGTATATAAGTGTGTGTTTTAGTTATTACATTTTTATGTGACGGCGTTCCACTGATGACAGTCACAAGAAAACGTTATGGAACTTGACTTTCTTCATTTTTGCTGTTGTTGATGAGTGCACAATTTATCTTATTTATTGCCATTTTACGACTATTGTCTCCTCGTCGATTGTTTTCTCTTTTTCATAGCCATTTTCGTAAATGAAAGAGTTAACACCTGTCATTGAGTAATATTCCGTGAAAAGAGGTTTCAGCAGAGACATCGAAATAAGCCAGGCCATGAGACGAAATATCCGAAACAGCTCATGCAAGAAGCAGTTCCAAAGAAGGAAGTTCCTCGTGCATGCACATCCGTCATCCGAACAGGCTGCAACATGTAGGCACCGGCGGATTATGCCGGCATAATTATTGGCATAATTTGGTGGTTTAAAATGTGTAGCATAATTTGGCATCGTTTCTGAGGTAGGATCATAACTACATGGTATTGCAGTACAGACAGCACAGTTCTAGTATGTACATGTACATTGTAGGATACACTATTGTGTTCAATGCACATGAGTAGTGCTCGTGGTCTGCATGCTACTCAGTAAAGGGTTCGGAGGTCATGCACATCATGTTTGCAATGAAAAGTAGGGTAGAAATCATGGCAATACATTTTTGTATGCTCGAACTCATCTCCTTCAAAGTTCTTTCTCACGTTGACACAGTAGGTCTACATGTACTGATGTAGCAGAAGATGCGAGTGAATTCGCCGTTATCAGGCATCCCGGCGCGAACGAGATAGTGACGGGTAGTCCGCAAAACGCTGCATACAGTCATGTACATGTACCTTCTGCATGTTACGAACTGAGTCATGACCTCTGCTCTGGATGTTATCAGCCATGACTGCGCAGGCTACGAGTATACAATGTAGCTCTACAAATTGAGGTATAGTTGATGTTCGGTCATGATGGAAGTAGAGATGGAGCTACGGGGGAGATTAGCAGATTGATCGCAGAGTGAGGGTGACAACGCTTGGGCGAGTATGACGATTGCGAGGACAGGTCAACCGTGATGATAATTTTCAAAGGTAACTCGAACTAATTCGGCAATGAAAGAAATATTTAAAATCTTTTTACAAAAAAAAGCAGTCAACTAATGAATAATTGAAGAAGTAATGTTTTCTCTTTTCCATGTTGATCTCTAGCATGCATGGACACCTAGTACCTTGGTATGGGGATACTCATGTATTTTGTTGCACATACATGTACATTATGGCCACCTGCAAGTACGAAAAAGGCACAATTTTCCGAACTTTGAGGCTCCATAAGTGGATATGTATCCCGTAGTTGCAAATCATAATATGAGGATTTTGCGAGCATAATGCGAGAATCCATGAAAGCATAATTCCATGATTTCGCGAGCATAACCCGCCGGAGCCTAGCAACATGTCTGCCATGCACACGCACGCGGCCGGCCGGCCAACGATGGTAGGAGCCATGGCGCCATGGAGTATGAGTTCGTACATGGTCCAGGCAGGTACCGATCACGTTACGTAGAAACTTACATAGACAACGTGTCTCAATAGCGATGTCGTTAGCTCTTACCATGTGAACGCAATAATAGAAAAGCTGACAGGGTCGCTTTCCTAAATGTATTTTTTCTATCAAACTCATCTTATCTTACCATGGCTTACCATGGCTGTCTGACGGCCACTTTACACTTGATGAAATGCTCACTTACATTGTTATGTCTTAGTGTTAGCTTGTAACTTGTTTCAGATTACATGTAGTAGTGTGACTGTTCCTGTACTGTCTTTTAACAGACAACTTTCTATCATTCTTCTCCTACATGTACATCCCTGATGATGCCCTCCTGGGTGAAAATGTGGACAATTTCAACTGTACGTGGTGTAGCCAAGGACTGTTTGTGTGTTGTGAGTTGGGTATACGGAAAATATGACAAGGCTATAGTGAAGTTTCAAAGTTCTTAAAAAAACTTATCTGCTTCTATGTATGTTAAACAGTATAGTACTTTCCTGCTCAGTTTCCTTCTGTTCTTCCTTTGATTAATTTTGTACTTAAGACTGCAGGCTGTATCCTTTAGTACAGAGTTTTTCCTTCAATCGTCGTGACGTCATTACACATAACACTAGACATAACAACCCAGTGGCATTGAGTTCAGAATGGAAAACTTTACACAAGAGAGAGATTGGAAGCTTTGTTACAACTCTGAGTTTCACGTATTACTACGATCATCAGGCAACCCTTACCAATAGAATACACAGTTTTGAGATCCAGAGTCAGCTCCTGCAGGGTTGTATGACCCCAGGACCAGGTGGATTAAAGGGACACTCATTTGCCAATACCCAATTTCAGCACCATGGGAGTACAGTCAGTATTGCCTATAGCGTTGGTGTTTGATTTTGATAATGCGATAATATTACTATGACCGAT